ATCCAAACAAACCTGGCTTTAAAAGTTTTTACTTCAAAAAATTGGTTGGCATATGAATGTTGAAAATTATATATATACCTATATATATATATATATATATATATATATATATATATATATACATATAATCTAAAATAAAACAGTTCGAAAGTTTGCGGATTAAGACATCTATTATCTATTCAAGTAAACAAAAATAACCCGAAGATTAGCACGAATTAGCGCTACAAAATTTCTTTGTTTGGTATGAGGTATCTGTACTAATATAGTCTATATTATGTGATCTGTGTATATAGATTAATAACAAACTAGCACAGTTTATTGGTGTGTACATACTCTAAGTAATCTCGGAAACTACTAAAAAGATTCTAAGAATTTTCACTCTAATAGAAAACTACAAAATTTAAGTTTTTTGTCGACGTACCATTCGAGAGCAGCCGTGGGTAACAGCTAGTTTATGTATGATATTTCAAATATATAATCCACATTCAAATGGGATTTAGGAGAGATCTTTTCAAAGAAATAACAATAAAAATATTATTTGCACTTAGTAGTATGTGCTACTCCAGGGTATAGATATAAATGCTAAATTTTATTAATAAAAAGTGCGCTAAATTTTATCCAAATCCGTCCAGCCGTTTTACCGTTTCAGAGCAACAAACATACATACATTTTTTTTTGTATTTATAATAACAGTGTAATATTTCTTTAAATATTTGCGTATATTCATAATACTAGTCTAGAGTGAATAGCGTGTAAAACAAAGACAGCAATTACTGCGACATTTCCTGACTCGGCCAATAAACTTAACAGGAACTGCGCATGCATGTCGCTTTTTACTTAACGTCAAATAGTTCATTTTCATTTTCTTTATTCTAACGATATATTTAATTTTATTATTTATTTATAATTAAATAATTCTATAATATAGTTTATTTTAAACATGAATAATGAAATTGAAAATTATTGTTTAGAAAATATATTTTTTATCTGTACTCGCCCGTATTTTGAAGGATCTTTTTGGAATTACCGCCTTAATAAAAAAAAAGTATTGTTATCATATGAAAACTCCTTGTCAAGATTTGAAATTCTAAAAATAAGAACGGCTTACACGAGATGTATATATCTATAGTACAATTATATAATAAAATTCTAGTTGAGTCGAATCTTTAAATTAAATATTTTTTGGTCTTATTGAAAAAGTCATTCTTATCGAAACAGAGGTCGAATCTATAATTTTTAGAATTTTTGATTGTCTGTCTGTCTGGGAATGCATCAAGAGAAAACCACTAGACAGATTTTGATGAAATTTGGTATGTTGATAGCTGGTTATCCGGGTCAACATATAGGTACTTTTTACAGCGGGAAAATAATTCATTTCTTAGAAATCTATACTAAACGTTAAAACGTGAGTCGCCAGTTCTAAGAATATGAATCTAAAACAATATAACAATGACATATGATCTTAATATATAAATATAAAATATGTTATTTCAATGCAAGTTTAAAATTTCCGTTCTTCTTTTCTAATAGAATGACATCTTGTTTAAGCCCAAAGGATATTTATTTTAAAAGGCAAACTCAAAGTTAAGACAAATTGCAAAGATGCAACCGAAAGAGCAAAGATGTATCTTCAAAGCTAATATTTAATATTATCATAAACTGAACCCAGAAAGAAATTCTAGTTTTTAAATAAAACCAATCTTTTCTGATTTTTTCGCGGATTTATTTTGATTTTTGGTTCCGTTCGGTTTGGACCAACATCCAAAAATAAAAAAAACCGCGACAAAATAAAAAAAGTTTAGTGACCTACTAAGAATTTCTGAATTTTTTTGAAAAAAAAGAAATTATTATATATATATATATATATATATATATATATATTTTAAGTTTTTGAAAAAGTGGTGACTTTAAATTCACTTAATATTAAAAAATAATTCAATAATTCTCTCTACAAAGAGAGAATCTCTCTTCGAAATTATGGAGTAATTTAACTTGTTTCTACTGAAACTTTGAACGACGAATCAAGATCCACGATTTACATAGGAATTTTTTAGAATAACTAATCACTGTGTCATCAGATCTATTCAGCTGAATCAAATTGTTTTAATTTTCGCTTTCAGCCTTTTACAGATAAGATGTAGATAATCTAGCTTAGATTAGGATCATTGCTTGCTTTGGACTTAAAAGATATTAACTTTAATAAAAATATTTTTCCATCTTTAAAGACGGGATTTTTTTTAAATTCACATGGGTCCATTACCCACCCTTGATCATCTTACGAGTAAAGAATTATAAAGACGAAGTCCGCCAAAAAAATGTCAAAGTCAAAAATAGTAGCGTGATTTGCTATTTATGCTACTACATATTCTCGATTTTGCCTTAAAGATAATTTACTTTCTTTAAAGAATAAGAAAAATTTTATATAGGTATTAGACGGTAATTGACAATTTTTTAAAAGAAAATGTAAATAATAATTAATAATTAAAAATAAAATATATATTCCTTTGTATTTTTTAAGCTTTACTTTTCTACTCTTCGAAAAAGATAATTAATATTATTTTCCTATGTTATAATAAACTCCGCAAGCTCTTTTTGCACTTATTTACATACTTGCGTTAACGCGCGGCATCGTCCACGTATTTTATTTCAATTATAATTATTACTCCGCTCTTAAAAGACATACCTCAATAAATCTATCTATATACCAATATTATAAAGAGGTAAAGTTTGTGAGTTTGTGACGTTGTAGGAGGTAATCTTTGGATATACTGAACCGATTTGAATGAAATTTGGTAAAAAGATAGTTTGAGACTTTGGGAAGGACATGGGATATTTTTATCCCGGAGATGATTCCTTAAGGGTGTGAAAATGGGAATGAAAATTTGTATGAGGAATCAACCTAGGGTCGCTAGTTCTATATAGGTACTTCTAGAAATTGCATGTTCAAACATACAAACAAAAAACCCTCTTTAGCTTATTATTATCTAACTTCTTACTGTTTAAGAATATTAATATCTCCAATTTTGCACGATCACCTGTTTTTCATTTCCATTTAGTTATCATTTAGTAATCATATTATTTTAATTGAAAAGATTATTCCCAATTCTTATCGCTGTTACTTTGAAACAGATTTTCATATAAACTTCCGATCCCTTTTTTACCCCTTTAGGGGTTAAATTTCCAAAAGCCTTTCTGAGCAAATACCTACTCCCTATGAGGAATCTTCGGGAGATTCCCTTCAAGATTGTAACACTAATGAGTATTCTGAGATATTGTGATAAATCAGCAGTATTTAGCTTTTGTATAGTAAATCTATACATACATATAATAAAATTCTAACAGAGTCGAATCTGTACATTAAATAATTTTTGGAAAATCTAATTGAAATAGACATTATTATCGATACAGAGTGCGAATCTATAGCTTTTTAGAATTTTTGTCTGCCTGTCTGTTGTCTATCTGTCTGTCTGTCTGTTACCGCATCACGAAAAAACCACTGGACAGATTTTGATGAAATTTGGTATGATGGTAGCTGGTTGGTTATACGGGTCAACATATAGGATACTTTTTACCGCGGGAAAATATCTCATTTCTGAGAAAAAATACAAAAACTGTATTGTGAGAGTATACTAATATGTAAAACCTAAGAATTTGATTTTTGGTCATCTGAACGCGGGCAGAGCCGCGGGCAATGCTAGTTGTATATAAAAAACAGTTATATTTCCGACTTTTTTTTAAATTACCTATTTAGGTCTCCTCAAATTTCGGTAAAATGCTATCATATTTTATGATACCTAGGTCTTATCTAACAAGCAAAACCAAGTGTACAAACTAGACTAGCTAAAGTGACATAGCAAACCCAGTTCCGTACAAAACGCAAGGTGAAATTTCCTCAACACGGAATTTGAAGTAATAATATTAATAAAGACGTTTCCAGGGTGGCAATTGACATTTATTTTTACATCTATCGCTTGGGACCGTTATGCTTTTCGTGATTTTTATATCGAACAGAGTTTCATACAAAGGTGATTTTATATATAGTGAATTGGAATTATTCTGTCCGTCTATACGTAATGGCAAAAACACATTAAGTAATGGCAGAAAAAATTATAATAAGTTTTATAATTTTCATCGAGTGCTACATCTATATGTATCTATATCACTTTCGAGCAAATTAATTATAGTTAACTGGGTAAGGACACACAAACAAACACATTTTCGCAATATTATTATTTATCATATACCTAATATTATATAAGAACGAAATTTTTTAAAGTCCCAAGTAATTTAAACATCTATTTATATGTATGAATTATACATAACGACAGTATGTTTTAAATTACTCAGCATTTTCCTATTGTTCCTTATTCCTACTTCTAACGTTAATCGAACCCACACATTCGAAGAATACAATGTCATAATAAAATCATTAATCATTTTTACTCAACTTCGTTAAAGGTTATAAATTCATGTCAGTTTTTGTTACGCGATATCTTCGCCAATAATAATAATAAAATCGATTATAATATATATTTGTTTAATTTAATTTAAGTACATTTCGAGAAAAGGTTTTCATCCAAATGAGTGCACCTCACTTTTAAAGTAATTGAAATTTATGTAACTTGAAAAATCATCTACAATTAATATTGGTTAAGCAAAATACATAAATTTTATACGATAATTTATAAAATATTGTAGAATGAAGTCGCTATAATTAAAATCAAATAGTAATTAAACAGATCGTCATTTCAGTACAAGTTTAAAACATTTTATATAGTACTTATTTCTTTAAAGAAATTACAGATAACATATAGTTAAATAGAAATCATTAGAAATGGAAAAACGGAATAAACAAACACTCTGCCAATACATCAGTTCAATATAAAATTGACAAAATAAACATAATTCATCTAAATACGTCAATACCGATTTCTACATCAGGTGTTCTCAACATTTTCTCCCATAAAATTTTATTAAATATTATTATTTAAAGCACTTACCCATTAAAAGGTTAATAGTGATAAAAACAGCCAAAAGAAGGTGGTAATTAGACATTTTCGGTAACTAAGTGGACACTATACCATGGCGATGCGTGCGGTCGCCTCGCGCGCTCTACGCGGTATGCCGCCCGAGCCCCTCCAAGTCCAACCCTTAGCTAGAGTAGACTAAAGATTGATATACACTGAGAACTAAATAAATTAATATGTTGGGACATTTACACACGACACCATCTAGTTCCATGGTAAGCTACGAGGCTTGTGTCATGGATACCAGATAGTTGACACACTACATTAAATACATACATATTATAAATATAAACACAATAACATTAATGCTCATTAAACAAATGAATGCCCCCTTCGGGACTCGAACCCGCGACTGCTGGCACAGCAAGTAGGGTCGCTACAATCTGAGCCAAAAGTGTCGTCATATAACTTTATTGTAGAGCTACGACATATTAATTTTAATTACAATCATAGATAATTTAATAATAATATGTAACTGTAGATTATTAATATAATTTGTTAAAAAATATTTTAATTATGTATATGTTACTATTTTTAGTTTTAATTTATTTGGTAGCGCGCTCGCTTTGGAATTGGAGGGAAGCGAGTTTAAATCCTCGTTTTGAAAAATCTAGGATTTGCGTGTACAAATTTCATTTTTAATGTTATTACATTACAAAAGACGTGTAAGTCTGTATTTACCCAGACTAGGGCCTTCCCAGGGTTCAATGAAAATCTAATTAAAGTTTATTTTTAAGCGATTAAAGACTCATCTCGAGGCTCTATTTCACGTGCTCTTGAGAAAAGGAGAATAATTGTGTGAATATATAATATATAGTATATTAAAACTACTAGCGACTCCCCCTCGCTTCGTTTCGGGTTCGTCCCTAGACATATAGAAAGCTATCCCACGGGACTTGTACATTTTCCGGGATAAAAGTAACCTATGTGCTATTCCAGACTATAATCTACCTCTGTGCCAAATTTTATCTAAACCTGATCAGCCGTCCTGGCGTGAAAGAGTGACAAACATCCATACTCACAAACTTTCACATTTTAAATATTAGTATGGATAGCTAAATTACGTATTAATTAGTCTAATATTTTTAGTCTGTCATATTCGGTACATCGAATGGTTTCTTAGGAATTAGTCTTATACTAATTTATTTTTAGCTAAAAACTAGCGACACCCTCGCTTCGTTCGGGTTCGTCCTTAGGTTGATTCCCCATACAAACTTTCATCCCCATTTTCACCCCCTTAAGGGATGCTTTCCGGGATAAAAAGTATTCTATATTCTTCCTAGGGTCTCAAACTATCTTCTTACCAAATTTCATCTAAATCTGTTCAGTAGATCCAGAGATTACCCCCCTACAACGTCACAAACTCACAAAATTTACCTCTTTATAATATTAGTAAAGAAGTATAGATAATAATGAATTTAACTTATTCTAATTGTCATATTGACTTGAAACTTTGCAAGTGTTTCTATTTCCGTTGATAGTACAGTGGTTCGGTATTGTTGACCTGATCTGATGGTAAGGCCAGAAGGTGGATAGGTGGAACTCTTCAATGGCTAATAGTAGATACTTTGAGTTTGGGCTTATTTTGTTTGATTTGACAAGCCTAACACGTTAGAATTCTTACTTTGTAGTCCAGTCATTATAGTAAGTTCACCTCGGAATTCGAGATACCCAGCTATAAGTTTGTAAATACTTGTATATTGACACCCTAAAAGTTGTCTCAAAACCTACATGGTAGGGTGTACGCAACTATTAAATTTCAAGGTTAAAGGTCACAAAAATCGTTTTTTTGCGCTTTTTTTGTAAATATCTCATTTCCTATGGGTTTTTGCTATTTGTATTTATTATCAATATTATAGAATACAAAATTCTCTACAAATTTTGTTCCAACATTTTTTTTATACGGTGAACCGTTTTCGAGATAGAGGGCGGAGAGTGCGCGGTTACAGGATCATTTCAGGTCAACCGGTGCCTCCGGTCGAAAACGCGCCATATATAGTTGATGAACTATCCCGAACAGAACGTGACAGTAAGCCGGAAATTGAAAAAAAAAACTATTTTTTTAAGCTTTGCGTCCCCCATTTCTCGGGGGTAGCTGGGCATAGGGGGCCTTTTACGAATTTCTATTCCTTATATACTTGCTAACATTTTAAAATCATAAAACTTCAGGTTTTCAATATTTTGTTCCCACACCGGATTCCGATTGGACTATACAGTTAAAATTATGAAAATATGTTTACAGTTCGCGAAGCGTTTGCGTATAAAAAATAAAAAATATACACTATGATTGATTAGAATTAAAATTTCAATATTCTGAATAAAGTTTTTTTAGACATACACGTAGTGGTAAGCTGCAGGAAAACATTAGAAGAAATATAAATACAGGTAAAACCACAAGCTGTAGTTAGAGCACAGTTTAGTAATTTAATTGTACTTAAGTCTTTTTCATAATACTTCTAAAAAATCCTACTAATATTGTAAACAGGACAGCTTGTGAGGATGAATGTATGTCTGTTTGTTAGTCTATCACGCCAAAACATATGAACAGATTTTGATCTTACATTATAATAAGACATCCATACTAATATTATAAATGTGTAAGTGTGTTTGTTTATTTGTTTGTCTTTCTTTCACGTCTAAATAGAGTGACACATTTACGTCATTTTTTGTGTAGAGATGGTTGGAAGGGCTGGAGAGTGACATAGGCTACGTTTTACCGCGGGAAATTATCTCATTCCCACGGTTTTAGTATTTTTCGAAATTCGTCACAAATAAGGTAAAATAGGGGATGAAAGTTTATATAAATACCTTTATAGAGTTTTGTTTTTGTGCGTGACTATAATTTGTAAAGATAAATATCAATACTTAATTGAAATACAAGAGCGAAGCCCAATTAAAACGCTACTAAATTTACATATAAATAAATTGTTTTCAAATAATGCAAATGTATATATAATGTAGTTTGTTTGTTGTATTGTAGTTTATCATTTAGGTAGATTGCGTTGTCGCTACGTGTATTGCTTGAGAAGTTGGGGATCTCTGGCTTGGTCTTTGTGCATAGTGTTCAGTGTTTATGAAGGCTTTATACTGTATAATGCATATTTTAGACTTATATAAAGCAAGACGATCACTCTCGTTTAGCTCGCTTCGTCCCTACGCACGTTTTAACGATTAGTATGGAATAGATAGATTTATAAAGACAATAGATTATCCCACAGCAACTCGAAAATTTAAAGTATTCTAAACTTGATGTATCTACTAGCATTTTACAAAACTTGGGATAGTTGAAGGGCTGGAGAGTTACATAGGCTACTTTTTACCGCGGGAAATCTCATTCCCACGGGATAATACGGTTGTATTATTTTTTTTAACGTTGGGAAATGCATTTACGCACGAGGTGTGGGACTCACCGGCGTAATACAGCCAGTACTACCCACTAAAACCCAACAAAACCTTCCCCCGTCTTAATGGGGCGTCGAAGGATCGCTTACGCATTCAACTACGACGCCCCGACGGCAGGTCTGCCAAAGCAGACCACCACAACTATGGGGTTGCTCCAAGGTCCACTCTGCTATCAGAGAAGTACCAGGAGCAACCCGCAAGGTACACCGCCCCCCGAAGAGGGCCACCTCCCACCGCCCACCGAAGTGGGCAACCTCCTTGTGCGTTTCTTAGCTTCGCTACTACTACTGAGCCCCCCCCCCACAAGGTGAACGCACGTTGGGGGGGTGACGGTTGTATTATAATACAACCCACAATAACCACCAACATATGTAACATGTATAGATATAATATATAATATACCTATAGTTAAACTATATATATTATATACCACTCCACCACCAACCTATGTACATATATAAAAAATAATAAGTATATAGTTACTGAAAAAGTAAATTAATAAGTCCAGTCTTCCAAGAGTCCACTTAAATGGTAAAAAGGTCGTCAAACTTAAAAGCATAATTATATACGTACCTACAGTAAATGAGGTCGTAAGCGTAAAAATAAGCTTCCATTTGTTTTAAATTTTATCCATCACGCAATAAAATATATGTATAGGTTTCTAGACTGTCCTAAATTTTATAATAATTAATTTACAGACTTTGTATTATTATTGTCGTCGTATTCAGCCCTTTTTACCGTCCCACTGCTGGGGGTGGACCTCCCTTCAGTACGAGGGGAATCAGGCCATAGTCCACCACGCTGGCCAAGTGCGGGTTGGCGGACTTCACATGTCTTTCGAGAACTTGCTAGGTTCTCTCAGACATGCAGGTCCTCACGATGTTTTCCTTCGCCATAAGATAAGTGGTATACATGTTGAAAGTGATTGACACATGACAACATTTGTGGTATCAGGTCTATCTGTGGTATCAGGTCAAAAATCAAAATAATAATAATTATTATTTATTTATTATACTATATAAAGTGACAATATAAGGGGTTAAAGTAAGTAAAGCAAGTAGTACAAAAAGGGTCAAAAAATAAGTTGAACTACTATCTCCTAAACTAAGCCAGAGCCTGTATTTTAGGTGACAGTCGTTCCGCTTTCACAATTGAATTTACAACTATTTATAAAATAAATCCGCGAACAAATCCGAAAAGATAGGTTTATTTAAAATATTATGAGATTCTTAGCAGCGCACCTACCGTGTGATAATAGAACTAATTTCGGCAATACGAAGAATTTTAATAATATTCGTATAGCGATCGTATTGAATTTCAATACATTTGAGTCATAATTGAAAATCCGAAATATATTCAGATCAATATTTTCAACATTTACTTCGTACATATTCATTTTTATTTCCATATTTAATCACTTCGAAATGGGGGATTGATAGGTTTGTATTTTTACCGACTTAAAAAAAAGAAAGAACTCAATTCTCCATTCAATTAGCTTTTATGTATGTTACGAGTACGACATAAATTATGTATGTTTATTTTTTCATAGTTATTTACTTTCAATTTATTTTAAAACTTAAGGGTGAGTTACGCATATATATTATATATATGTATATACGCATATATATATTTCATATATTTTTTATAAATTTTATAAAAATGCGATCTCATCTATACTAATCTATACATATAATAAAATTGTACGATGTACGATTCCCGTGGAATAGATTTGTTTTTATTTTTCTAGTTTTAACTAATGGCGGAATAAATAATTTAAGTAATTTTGAAGTAATGTTACTTTTTTAGTAAAAGGTAATGACAGTATAGACTAGAGTAGAATATTTTTATCTTCAGCCAGTAAAATCTTTATGCAAAGAACTATGTCAATTTCTTACCGAGTGATAGAAGAAAAAGCCATTACATATTATTATATGCTTTCATTACCGGCTATCTCCCAAGCGGCTATTTTCAAAACTAACAACTATTTAGAGTACCTAGTACTTAAAGAAACAGTTAGTAAAAGTAAATAGTATTTTAAGCTACACTTTTTATGTAGACAATATAAGTCGAGTTTTCTTGTAGATAAGAAATGTCTATATCGCTAATTTCTATATTAATATAGGTATGTATAAAGCTGAAGAGCTTGTTTGTTTGAACTCCGTAATTTCTACCTGTATTAGTGATTAAATATGGAATTTTTGGAGCTAGTGGCGTAGCAAAATCAAAAAATTGCATTAATATGCCATTTTCAAGCACTTTTTAATTCTCTATAGACTATAAGCGATAACGTTAGTAGAATGTTATCTCGAGTAAGAACTATAAAAATACCCCTATACTAAAAGATTCGTAACATTTGATTTACCTACAAATAAACAGTCAAGTGAAAATCATAAAAACTCTCACCATCCCAACAAATAATAATTTACGTATAATTTTGACTCCATTACAATTGTAATATTACGTATATTAAAATTATAATCTATACATATAATAAAATTGTAACTAAGTCGAATTTGTACATTAAATATTTTTTAGAAAATCTTATTGAAATAGACATTATTATCGATACATAATACGAATATATAGTTTTTCGAATTTTTGTCTGTCTGTCTGTCTCTTACAGCATCACAGAAAAACCATTGGAGGGATTTTGATGAAAGGTATGATGACAACTGGCTATCCGGATCAACATATAGGATACTTTTTACCGCGGGAAAATACTTCATTTCTGAAAAAAAATACATAAACTACAATGTAAGAGTATACTAATATGTAAAACCTAAGAATTTGGTCTTTGGTCATCTGAACGCGGGCGGAGCCGCGAGCAATGTTAGTACAAAATACAAGAGCATTTTTTAAGTTACTTATTCTAAGATACATACATACGAATGCATTTGTAGCACGAACTAGAAAGGCGCGTTGACTTTAAAACAATTCGTGAAAATGACGCTAGATGGCGCTACTCGTAGTATTAGATTGTAATATATTTAATCAGAACCGCATTTTTTTATTACTTAAAATTAAATTCGTATTATTGTTTAACACAATATAATGAAATGTCAATTATTAATAAATTATTATTATATTTAAAAAGAGCAACTGTTGAGTTTATCGCCGATTCTTCTCAGCAGAACTGCATTCCGAGCCGGTGGTAGATTCCTCACGGACGTACATCATCATCATCTCCCACTTCCCAATCACTTGGGGTCGGCGCAGTACATCTTCCGTACTAATGATAGGATTTGGCAAAAGTTTTACAACCGCAGTATTTAAAAACTCCAATAGGATACCATCAAAAGCGACAAAAGCCACATAGAAACCAATACATATTTATTGGTTTCTATGTGACTTTTGTCGCTTTTGATGGGATGCTATTGGAGTTTTTCAACAGGGCATCTACCTGCCTGACGTCAACCTTCCTTGGGAATTATATTGTTCACGGACATACATACTGAAATTTAATTTAAATTTATAATGTAAAATTAACGATTCAAAAATGCTTGTAAAAGTCTATTTGAATAAGGTATACTTATTTTGATTTAAGACTTTAGTATTATATCCATTCACAAAACCAAATTCTTAGGTTTTACATAATTAGTATACTCTTATATGGCAGTTTTTGTATTTTTTCTCAGAAATGAGATATAAATCATCAAAATCCCTCCAGTGGTTTTTCTGTGATGCTGTAACAGACAGACAGACAAAAATTCTAAAAACTATAGATTCGGCCTCTGTATCGATAATAATGTATATTTTAATAAGATTTTCCAAAAAATATACAGATTCGGCTTATTTACAATTTTATTATATGTATAGATTTAGCTTGACAGTCGGTTATTTTGCACAATCGATATCTATATTTTTTTCTAAAAAAAAAGAAAGTGTTTTACTTTGTATGTAATTAAATATTTTATAGTCAAGTTATTCTGTTAACCGTAAAAATTTACTGCTTTGATAAGATAGACCTATTTTTCTGTTAATTAAAAATACTCGTCTAATGGATGAGAAAATTAGATTTCCCGAGTGGCTCTTTTTGGAACTAATGACAGCAATTTCCAGTACTTTACTTATCAGTAACAGTTCTAATAACTTTATAAACTTTATATATAGACTAAAAAATAGTTTCGTCATCTATACTAATATTATAAGCAGGAAAGATTTTTTTGTTTGTTTGTACGGAAGAGATTCCGAAACTACTGAACCGATTTAGATGAAATTTTTGTAAGATAGTTTTTAGAATTTTGTCATTCTGTCTGTGACCGCATCACGATAAAATCACTGAACAGATTTTGTTAGTATGATGATAGCTAGTTATCCGCGTCAACATATAGGATACTTTTTCAAAATATTAATTAATTATAATTATATAAAAATATTATCTTATTAACCCGAGCGGAGCGAGGATGAGCCGCTAGTATTTAATAAAACAAAATTTGACTGCACGTTAATCTTTTATTTAAACTTAGAGAACTTATACAATAGGATAGTAAGCTTGATCGAGTATATGACAATTGTTATTCAAAGTAGAGAAGAGTATATATCCGTCCTGCCCCCAGTCTTCTCCCCACGAGTTCTTGACGATCCAATAAGTAGCGCCGTCTCTTACACCATAACCTACTATTGTCACAGCGTGGTTTAGAGGACGGTCGTTACTGAAAATTTAATTATATTTAAATAAAACTTTTTAGTTTTTCGAAAAATTTTTTTAGTTTTTTCGAGGTTTTATTTTGATTTTTGGTTCTAGACGTTTTAAATACCGTGACCATGATTGCTGTAAAGAATTCGAAACGTCGGGAACTAAAAATCAAAATAAATCCGCGAAGTTCGTTTGCAATAAATATATAGATGAGTATAATTTGTGCTCGAATTTAATTTAGCCATTTCATTCCATGAAAACTAGAGATTTTACCACACACATAATTATAAATATGTTGTTTGATATGGGAGAAAGGAACATGATTTTTTTACATATACCTATTCTGGACAATTTTTACAATTTTACCCTCCATAAAATTATGAATATGTAAAAAGAATAATTTAGCCATCCTCTCGTTTTGGACTGAGCAGCGAACATTCATTTTTATTTATATAGATGTCAAAAAAATGGGTGCGTGTAACCTTAACGCGCGCTTGTAGTAAAACTTCTTTGGCAAGTATCACAATTAAATTAAAGAAATCTAATATATTAAACTAGCAATTCTTGTATATTTATCTATACCGGCGATCACGGAAATGGCTCTAACGATTTCGCTAAAATTTGGTACGTGGGGTTTTTCGGATGCGAAAAATCTATCTAGATTAGTCTTATGTCTGGGAAAACGCGTCTTTTCGAGTTTTCCTGCGGTTTTCTTTAAGACGCAACATATGGTCGCTAATTTAATAATTAAATAGGCATCGTGGTCAAGAGGCCAAGACGCAAGATAACGCGAGGATAAGACGCAAATTAATAAGACAATTACAAGTGTCCGGGTTCGACTCCCAGTTGGATACAAAGTTTTTACTTATGTTTTTTTGGCTGCAGTTTAGAATTGGGGACTTGGCCCCTAGCGGAGTGGGTGGTATTTCTGGATAAGGGACGTGATAGGGAGTCGAAATGTTAAATAAAAATTGTCCGCGAACGTATGAGTAAAAAGTTATTGAGACTTAAAGTTACAACATTTCCATACATTATTTTGACATTACTACCATTTAGACACTTGGAGTCAAAACGTCACTTTCAATTGTCAAAATGATCTCCAGATGATTGTCTTTATTTGTACTTTACGTGAAATTCGAATTTTCTAGTTTTCTAGTCATTTATGGCACTCGCCGGCCGCTACCGCGGCACGCTCGCTTCGCTCGCTCGGCTCGTGCGTTGTGGCAACTGTTCTAACCTAACCTAGATATGAGGAATAATAAATAATTTTTTTTTTTTTGTTGACGCTGGGGAAACCCATCATGGGGACCCTGCCGGCCGTCAATGGGCAGGGTACTGTGAGACTCCTACTCACTAAAACCCACAGCGGAACCCGTCGCCGCAGTGCAATGGGGTGTGCAGGATCGCTTGCGCATTCACTGCAACACCCCTGCGGACGGCCCGTACCCCGCGGGCCTGCCTCGCCTAAATCAGGATGCCCTCGGTTCGCAGGGCATCCCGACCGCCCCGATGACGTGCAGGGGAGTCAACGAGAGACCCCCCCGCAGTAGCTCCTCTAGGGTGGCGGGAGAAGATGCGCGTACCGGCGCCTCCTCTCCCCCAGCCGACGGCGACGAAGAGGGTCTGCTAAGGCGTTAGCCTCGCGTTCCCTCTCCGCCGTCTCCTTCAGTGAGATGACGGCCTCACTGAAGGAGACCATCGCCGACCAGGACCTCTTATCGCGTAGCATGGCCCCCACCACGCTTCGCAACGAGAGGTCTCCACCCACTACCACCATCAGGGCATGGCGCTGGGGAGTCCAAGCGGCGCATACCGCGAGGGTGTGGTGCGAGGTGTCCTCGGACGCACCACACTCGTGGCATGCGGGCAACGGTTCCCGACACGCAACTTGACACAGATACTTACCAAAGCACCCGTGCCCGGTAAGCATCTGCGTCAACCTGAACGTCAGGACGCCGTGTGGCCGCCTGACCCAGCGAGACAGGAACGGACGAACCGCCCCCACCGTCGCCAGGCCAGCCGCTGGAGTCCCCAGGTCTTCCCACCAGCGCCGGATCAGTGCCTCGTCAGCTAGGCGCCTGATCCGAGCGACTCCCTCCCGCGCTGGACGTTCCCCTCGAGCCCGCTCACTCGCCCGAAACCGATAGACTTCGGCGAGCACCTCCGCCTGGAGTTCCCAGGGCGGATCGCCCGCCAGAAGTGTCGCCGCCGTGAAGGACACCGTACGGTATCCCCGTATCGCCCTCACCGCCAGGACCCGTTGCGCTTTGCGCAGTTGGGCCCTGTTCGGTGCGGAGAGGGCGTCCATCCAAACGGGGGCACCGTACAGTGCCATGGACCTCACGATGCCGGCATAGAGCCGCCGGCAGTGAGATCCAGGGCCCCCGACGTTCGGCAGGAGTCTGCCGAGGGCCGAGGCGGCGCCGATCAGTCTCGGGGTGAGCTGGGCGAAATGGACACGGAACGTCCAGCGTCCGTCCAGGGTCAGGCCCAAATATTTCATATGGGCCCGCACCTCCACCATCCTACCCTGGATACGCAGACAGGCGTTGCGGGGGGCACCCTTGCGTGGGCCATGGAAGAGGAGGGCCTCCGTTTTGGAGACGGAGACCCTCAGGCCCAGTATCCCTATACGGTCGACGACCAAGTTGGTGCCGACTGTGGCCAAGCGTGCCGCTTCTTCATAGGAACGACCCCGGGCTGTGACGAGGGTGTCATCAGCATAAGCGATGACACCGAGCCCGGGGAGAAGCGGACAACGCAGGAGCCAGTCATACCCGAGGTTCCACAGTACCGGGTCCAAAACGGCCCCTTGTGGAACCCCGCAGTCGACACGTCGCCGACCGACCACCCCATCTGCCCCCGTCCACACGACCTGTCTGTCGCGGAGGTACGCGTCCAACACCCGCCGGAGATAGAGAGGCACCTCATGGTACCGAAGTGCCTCTCGTAGCGTCTCTAACGGCAGGGTGTTGAAGGCGTTGGCCACGTCCAATGAGACGGCTAAAAGCACGTCTCCCTCCTCCACCGCGGCCAAGGACCGAACCTTCAGGGCGTTCAGGGCGTCCACGGTCGACCGACCCGCCCTGAACCCGAACTGAGCCTCTGAAAGGCCCGGCCCCACCTCCTCGAGATGCTGAGTAAGACGGGCAACGAGTATTCTCTCGAAGAGCTTGCCCATCTCACTCAGCATCACGATCGGCCTGTATGCCGAAGGGGAGTCCAGAGGACGACCCTTCTTGGGCAACAGGCACAACAAACCCTCCTTCCAGATCTTCGGGAACTGCCCAACGCGAAGACAGGCGTTGAAGAGGTCCCGAAGATCCCCTCCCAGGTATTCCAGGGCGATGCACAGAACTCGCCCCGGAATACCATCCGGTCCCGGAGCTGTCCTTTTGGCCCGCAGTTTGTCGCGGGCCAGTTCCATCTCCCCCTCGGTGATAGGGGGGAATTCGTCGACTCCCTCATGGCGTGAGGGAGGACACATCACCGGGGGGACGTGCCCGGAGGACTCCGGGAACAGGCCTCCCACCAGTCGCAGGAGGACGTCGGGCGGCGTGGTCTCCGTGACCGGGGCGCCATGCGCGCGGAGCTTGTTCCGCGCGCTGATGTACGGGCGCCCCCACGGATCCCGATCCAGGCCCGCCAGCAATTCCTGGCGGGCCGCCGCCTTGGCTTGGCTGATCGCGAGCTGCAGGGCCTTTTTTGCGGACCGATAGGCCGCTCGCAGCTCGCTCTCCAAGTCCGGGGCCAAGCCGTTTCTCCTGCGACACCTCACATAGGCCCTCCTGTGTCTATTGCAGGTCGCCCGAAGTTGTGCGATCTCGGGCGACCACCAATAGACACTCCGACGACGCCGGTCCCACCGCCTGACACGCGGCATGGCCGCATCGCACACCCTCGTAAGGGCGTCGCGGATGCGGCCAGCCAGCTCCTCCACATCAGAGCTGGCGCCCACCACACTCCCCTGGGAGCTCCAGACTTCCACGATGGCCGCCTCCCTGGCCAGCTCTGTGTCAAGCCGGCCCAGGGCCCATCTCGGGAACGCTCGAGAGGGCCCCCTTGGGCGGTCCACCGGCACCGGACGGGTGGAGATCTCAAACCGGATATAGTTATGATCCGATAGAGTCTCCACCTCCTCCTCTACCCTCCAGTTGATCACGTTGCGTGCGACGGCGGGGGTGGCGAACGTTAGGTCCACCACAGACCCCCCCTGCTGCCGCACGCACGTGAACGCCGTCCCCACATTGAGTAGGGACAGACCGGAGAGTAGGGCCCACGTCTGAACCGCCCGCCCTCGAGCGTCCGACGTGGGATTCCCCCAGGCCAAGGACTTGGCATTGAAGTCGCCGAGGACGATTGTGGGCCTCGGCGACCGCCTGCAGACCGCAGCGCGGACGGAGTCAAGGAAAACCTCGAACTCCGCCAGACTGCGGTTGGGGGAGAAGTACACCGCAACGATGGCGTACTCTCCCCACCCTACCACGACGAGTCCCTGGCCCCTCTCGATTGCCGAGAGACGGGGGCCGGTGCTGCTCCCAGACACTATGGCCACGGAGCCCTCTAGGTCCCCCACCCAGTTCGGTTGGTGAGGGACAAAATAGGGCTCGCAGGCCACCGCCAGGTCTATCTCCCACTCGGCCACGGACTGCAGCAAGAGGTCCTGCGCTCCGGCCGAGTGGTTTAAATTCCCTTGGAGGAAGCGCTTATGTCCAACCATTATGAGGACATGTGCGCTTCCTCCCCAGCCTGGCGGCTACTCACACTGGGGGCGGCCCTGGTCCGTTGGGCCGTCTTCCCCTTCGTAACGGGCGGGTGGCAATCGCCCCCGCCCATAAATGTTCTAACCTAACCTAACCCAGATATGAGGAATAATAAATAAATAATCTTAAATGTTCTAACCTAACCCAGATATGACGAATAATAAATAAATAATTAAAAATATTCACAGATAAAAAAATGATTTTTTTTACTAAATGTACAATTGTAAAACAATATATTTTACCTAAATCAAATAAAAAGTCATAAATGTATTTATAAAGTGAAAATAATATTTTTCTTTTTATTTATTTATTTATTAATAGTAATATTTTACCAACAGAAAAAGCAAAAATAATCAAATATAATCTGTTGTCATTTAAGCGGTAATATAAAACAAAGTGTCAGTTTTGCTTTTGTCAAAATGTAAGATCATTTTGTTTGTGTTGTGAAATTATTAAAATATTAAATACAATAAAGCATTAATTGTCGTGAAAATATGTATTGTACATAAAAAAGGATGCGTACTATTCGTTAAAGGTATGTTTATCTGTTGTAATCACTTATTTAGGTAAAGAAATGTATGGAAATGTGTTAGATATGTTATAACTTTAAGTCTCAATAACTTTTTACTCGTACGTTCCCTCCAAATATTTTTAATATATTTTGACTCTCTGTCACCTCCCCTATCTAAAAATACCACCCACTCCGAATGGTGGTAAAGAAATATATGAAAATGTATGGAAATGTTGTAACTTTAAGTCTCAATAACTTTTTACTCATACGTTCGCGGACAATTTTTATTTAACATTTCGACTCCCTATCACGTCCCTTATCCAGAAATACCACCCACTCCGCTAGGGGCCAAGTCCCCAATTCTAAATTTGTGCCGTTTTTTTTATTTATTCAAGTTATTAGATTAAAAAAATAAAATTGTACTTACGACCAAAAACTCCGAGCGAAGCTCAGTCGCCCAGGTACTCACTCAATAATTAAAAAAGGCATATCAGGCATATTACAATCATATACATATTTACCATATTATATTTATCACGTTACCATGGCAACAAATTGTCATAACAGCTTTTATTAAATTTATGCACATTCGTCCAACAGTAATAATTTTATATTAATTTTTATAAGAAATAATTATTATAAAATTATTAATAATAAATATATATTTTATACACATCTAATTATTATAATTATTTAAAAAAATATATAATATATTTTTTAATTATTAATAATAAATTTGACTGTCACTACACTACACACTTCCGCTACATTTATTTTTCCAATGTCACGCCTAAAGAAGTTTTACTTCAAAATCGTGTAAATCAAAGAATGTATGACACCTACATTATAAAAAAAACATAGCCATAGATGCGTTTACCACAGATCCCCCATGAACGTCAAAGATAGCGTTTCGTAATGCCTTCTTCTCTTTCATCCTACACTACTTACCATTTCACATTATAGAAAATTCCATTCCCATAATCGAAAATGGGATCAGCATTGATAGTGACAGTAACTGGACCATATTTGTACAATGCTACTTTCATCGCGTTAATACTTTGTGGAGGCACTCTACCGAATCCTTTGATTCTGTACACATCGGTCATGTTTTCTAAGCGGCACATACCATCCTGTAAGATAAATTATATACGTACCTATAGCTATTTTAGAATATAATTGAAATATAATACGTTATAGTTAAAATAACCAAAAAAACGATTACCTAAGCAGATAATAAAGTTTATAATATCCACAATTCATTAGATTTCGTCTAAGTTTCGATCATCTTATAAAACTTAAAGGTCAATATATTGCACAATGCTCCTGAGAAGAACCGATTTGAAACTCAACAGTTTAAAAGAAATTACGGCTTAAATTGCTATAGATACCTAAAAAAATTTTTTACTAACCTCAGCTAAATACGTCCCGTATTCATTTTCTGCTGGGATTCCATGTTTTATAACGTATTTGTATGTACTTTCTATGAAACCTCCATTACAACCCATATTAGTAAACCTAAAATCAATCAATAGATATTTATTGCAATTCTTTACTTAATATTATAAATGCCACAGTCGTAAGTTTATTGGTACTTCTTTATTTCAAGAAGTACTCACGCACACTAAGACGCACACTTAAACACACACGCATGCACACACACGTACTTTAAAATAGTAGCGTGAAAGTAGAGAGTAGCGTAGATTTCTATTAGCAATATCGATTGCAAAAAGCCTTAAATCTTATCTAAGATTATTATAGAAACAGCAAACATACCCCCAAGCGCAGTCCACAAGTGATTGCTCGCTTAAGTTTAGCAATCGGTCGCCATATCTACGTGCGTAAGCACCTTCTATCGCAGCGACTGTAGCGAACGACCAACACGAGCCACAGCTAGCTTGATCTATAAAGAATAATATTCTTAGAGATCAGATTAGCCAATCTGACTGAGAATCAAATTGGCTAATCTGATCATAATAATTAAAGGCTTGCCGCTGTTCCCTTATGTAAATAGAGTAAACTAAAGGCCTCTGCACATGTCGCATTTTTAACGCGCTATCGACGCGCGTGTCACACATATGTATCTATACGATTAAAATTCAAAATTCTAAATATTTTATTCCGCATTAAATTATTACAATTTTTACTGAACGTAATGAGTCTACTACCATTTTGGAAAGAAGAAGCCTCAGATCGCTAGTAATATGTCTTTTTTTATTATTTTAGCGAAGTACATGTATACACAGACAACATACGTTCAACATACGCGCATCGTTGAAATATGTATGCGTCGTGGGCAGACAAAACGCGCCGATGATACGTAGTCGGCGTGCCAAAAATTCATCGTGTGTATAAGACCTAAATTCCTATATTTTAAGCAATATAATTCAATTTATTTATAAACTTACTTTTAACAACGCTTATGACTCCATCAATTCTCATGTCATAATTTTCTGGTAAATCTTGAACCATCTGATTAACCTCTTCTTCAGAATATGGGAAAGGCTCTGATCCAAATGCTAGAGGATCTGAGGGTCTGGTGGCAGAGAGGTAGGCCAGCTCAGCAGCAGTGCGGTCGGAAAATTTGTTTATGGTCAACTTGTACGGTAGGTTCTTTTTATTGTGTTCTATTACTCGTCTAGAAAAATAAAATATACCTATATATGTATGTAGGTACAATCATGTTTTTTTTTAATTATTATTACGGTTTCATTTTTATTTCATTTATAAGCCTCTTTGTTTCCATGACCAAGAATACATTTAAATTATTTTATATAACATTATGATTGATGATTCTAATAATTTGATTCAATCAATAATATTGTTAATGTAAACATTTTTTTTTTGATAAGTCATGGCCCCTTTCGGGTATAGGCCTCCTCCAAGTGCCTCCACTTTTTCCTATCTGTAGCCAATTCCATCCAGTCTGTGCTTATTATTTTAGTAATCTCATCGATCCAGCGTTCTTTTGGTCTGCCTCTTGCTCTTTTAGTTTTTTTATTGTTATTGTTACAGTACTTACACATAAATGTTTTGTAAAATACATTTGAAATTATAAAACCTGATTAAAACATTAAAGTTCCGAAACTATTTTTTTACGAAATACACTATGATAAGATTATCCATTTTCTCAGACTCTACATTACAGTTGATAACAAACATGGATAGACATCAGACCCTCCCACTTATGTTTCAAATATAGCTACTAATTAAGGTGCTAATAACAAGTGACATTTAATAAAGTGAATTGTACTCAAGCATGTAAAAAACTTAAAAAATACAATAGTTTGACATAATTATCAACGATTGGTAACTACTTCACATGTTCAATATCCGAAAATAAATAAAATTAAAAAAAAAATGGTTTCAATTGTTATAGCAAAATGGATTGACCCTCACCTTAAGTTCTCTTCGAATATAGATTTTCTCATTCTATGCTCTTCTCCTTTGTAATTTCTGTTGTGTTGCATCTTGTAACTAAAAATGTTTAAAGAAGTTAAAAAAAAACATTATTATTTAGTAGATTCGTTTTTAATATAAACGTTTTCTGCCTTTACTTAATTTTTCTTTCGCCAGTTCTACTCAGGTCTGAGGCTTTTTCATTCAAAACTGGTGGTAGACTCATGACGTTCAGTAACAAAATGTAATAATTTAATGCCACAGATCACATAATACTATACTAGTTTAATGATGAATAAAATGTTTTGAATTTGAACAGTATTGACCATTTAGCACAGTATTGGAGCTACCAGACCAGAAATCACTAGAACTACTATGAAAAAAAATTCTGATTATGCCTCACCCGGATGTGCCGATTATGATCACGCTTTAGCTGAAAGCGTACGGTATAAAATTGCCGCATCTGCCGATAACATACATGAGGAAGAACTAAAGTTCGGGAAATAAGACGTAGAAAGTTTTGAATAGACCATCTATACTATTTATCCTCTTCTCGAAATAGAGCACACTAAGAGGAAAAAATTATCACTCAGAAGTCTGAACTTTTCATTGGAAAATCATCTTTAAGGTTTATTAGCTTGAGAATCATGTTACATAATATAGTAATTTAACAAACCCATGAAAAGTTTCATCCACCTGTGATGATGAATGCTCATGGCGTCCAGACACTATAAGAACATCTTCACACTCTGTTACTGAAAACAAAATAAAACATTAGGGATTTTTTTCACTTCCTATGTAATATATTCTACCTCATTCTCTCGCCGGCTTAATCCTATATATTTATCTGTTGGTCTCTTTCTCGTGTTACATTTTCGTTTAATCGAGTTTCAAATTACAATGATTCTAAAGAAATTTCAGTTAAACATTATGGATGAGATATAAATTTGTTTAAGGAAGTATAAGTATTGTTTGAAGTAATGTATCATTACCTAAAGTAACGTTCAAGTCTTCATAGTTGGGCTTCTTAAAGTCGAAATAATGCACTATAACATGATCGGATATGGCACCGCTCCACTCGGTATAGACCTTTAATTCTCTCCTACCAAAAAAAATACATTTATACGCAAACAATGTCACATCCCTTATTACCATTTAATATCTGTGCACAAAGTACAATGAAGCCTCAAGCGAAAGCAACTAAATAATATAGTTAGTTCCTGGTTAGCATTTTCTGTTGCAGATTGTAAAGGCCTAGGTTTAAGTCCCAGATTCTAAGAGTTACTGGGAGATTTTGCAACGAAATATTCAGTAGAAGCCCGGAGATGAGAAGACCGTGGTGGTGTTAACAAACATAGGGCATGGAGTGTTCGTAAATCTTGTGTCTCACTTTTTGTGTCAAATGGACAATTTGAATAGGTAAAAAGAACAGATTAAACTTGTATCTAGAGACACAATTACAAATACACATTGGACTACAGAAGGATAGTCTCTAAAGTTCCCGTGAGCCAAATTAGTTAAGCAGATATTTTAGAAATTAAGTACATATATTTTCTTATATAAAAAATTTCTCACTTACCAAACTGGAATGTCCTCTCCATCTTCATTCGTATACACGTACATAGTATCTTCTTTTCTCTTTTCATCGATTTCTAGCAATTTCCAAACTTGCACTGCTTTGTTATAGTAGATCACGTCACCTGATGAAAAAATCATCTTTATTTCACCTGCTACGATTAAAGGAGGCACTCGTTTTGTGAGAGCTTTTACATTTAATCGGTTACAATAAAAGTTAATACAATCAAAATCAGTCACTCAAATCATATCAGCCTATATGTATAATATGTTATGTGTTATACTGCAGTAAAAACTACTCATTGAAATCCAGTCACTTGTTCGCGAAAACTTGAATAGATCAGAAAATTAAAAACACTAGCTTTGACTAAAATATACAATTTAAACTAGCGAAATTTAATTATTTTTCCCTAGTTACCTGAATATGTAAAATTGTCTCCAGCTGGGAAAATCTTAGGTGTATCATCTGCACTGTAATCTTTTTCACACTGAATCTCATTTGTGACCATCTCAGTCGTTATTGGATGAATCTAGAAGTATGGTATATGTCACAATCAAATTCCCAATTGCATCCGAACCCAATTCGGCCACGGCCAGCTGTCAATCTCACATATGATATTCATAGGTGCACTCTCTTTTCTTTTAACTCTCAAAAATCTGGTGGGATGAAAATTGAAGGTGACCGTTGTGACATCAGGCGCACCATCCATAGCTTTCCGTGCTCTCTAGAGCAATTACCCATCAGTATTTCAGTAAGACGTAAGTCCCAAGTAGACCATAATAAACTTAACGTTTCACCTGCGGTCCCACACATGGAGGTTATCGAAATATGTATAGATAGGTATATGGTATTATGTATGATATTATAATATTTCTGACCAAAAATTCGTGTCAGACATACAGACAAAATACTAACTATGGTTATAACTTCATAAGGATACTATGGTTTTCCTGCAGAGAACATCCGAGTAGTTCATTTTCGTATTACAATTATCGATCAAAACAGTACTAGATACACAATCCCATGCAAAAGTTCTCTTAAAAATGTCACAAATTGTGCTTAAGTAATTATTCTTGTTGAAATAAATACACAACAATGTAAATTGAATCTTAAATGTAATGCTTAAAGTTGTTTTCACAAAAAAAAAAGTAAAAGCGCGCTAAAATATTCAAACGAGCGCTCATTCGGTGAGGACATTTTTTGTCGCTGATTTTGTATCTAGTACTTTTTTGATCGATGAATAATAATTCCTTATAAATTATAGTCTATAATTTATAAATATAAATTAAAACATCCATACTTTATAGACTGTTGTAAGATCTTCATCTTCTCCAATGTAATAAGTCTTCACTAAGCCGTGGTACACATCATTTCGTGATTTCTTGTTTTCCTCACTGTACCTACAATAAATATTTAAAGGAAGAAGTGATTAATGCTGCGGTTGCGCACAAATTGTCTGAGTTTTTTTTTAAAAAGCTTTTATTTTATTCTATAAATAACAAAAAAATATGTTGGGACATTAACACACAGCACCATCTAGTTCCATGGTAACTGGTAAGCTACGAGGCTTGTGTTATGGATACGGGATAGTTGATACACTACAAGTATATATAATTTTTAAATACATGCATATTATAAACACCCATGACTGAAGTACAAACATTGTTGCTCATCACACTAATGAATGCCCCCAACGGGACTCAAACCCGCGACCGCTGTCACAACAAGTACGGTTACTACAAACTGAGCCAAACGTGTCGTCAAAGATTCTATAGAAGTGGACTCTAGGCCACTTTTTGCAATACACTCCTGACTTCTGCCATAAAACATAAAGATTTTTTATAATCTGTTGCATCAAGTATTTTTCTTAAAATTTTGAAAACACCACTTGAGACGTGCAATTTATATCGTACATACTTTAATTAATAATAATTAGACTAATTAATTTCTTAATCCTTTGTGGCTAAAAAATGTATAAAAGTAACAGTTTGTTCACTTTGTTTCAAAATATAATTTTTACACATTGTTTAGTTTCAACTAAAAACATGTGATCTACATATCGTCCGTGAACTCCTGATATCTTCTATCTACTTACAAACCAATTTTACAGGAAGAACATTAAAGTAATTTATTAAAAAAAATCGTGGAGAATTTTGGTAAAACAAATAAGTAGTTAAGTGGTATTTACGTCTTTTTATGATATTATCATTAAATGCAGTTAGTATTATGATGATTATGCCAAATGATGGCATTAAAATAAAATTTTGAACAAAAATTCTAGTTAGGAGGTATCAGAAATTCTCGGACGATATATAAAATTAATTAAAGTTGCATATTATAGTTTTAAATCGACACAAAGTAAGTTAAAAATAAGTAAAATATAAGCTAGTCACAAATCAAACAGGTTATAAATGCATGTTAATACACTGACCATGCTTCGAATGGCGTGAGGATGCCGGTGACCAGATCTGTAGTTTCACCTCTTACATGATACTCTATTGGCAAATCCAACGTCTTCTTCTCACCTGCGCCAAATAAATATTAAGCTAATATTATATATTATACTAGCTTTTGCTGTGTTATTATTCAATTTGATGACCATTAAACATGATCTACACTTTATATTGGCATTATCGATTTAAGTCATAGACCATAGTGTGCTATAAAATAACCGTCTTACATACAATTATTATTTAAAAGCTATATGATTTACGTTACCTAAAATTAGAATTTGTTGTATGTTCTTTTTGATCATAATTTTCACAAATCACATGAATCAAACTGTAACTCACTTTTTTGATACAATTTGCATAGCTTCAAAGAATTTTTCAAATTCGGCAAAATTCGGAGGGTGAGAAAAAAATTGTTCTCATTATCAAAATATCATTTTTTAATTTCCAAAAAATGAATAATTGAATTTTTTTAACTATAGTACATTCTTGTAAAAATTGAAAACATTTAAAAAAAATTTTTATATTTAAAATTTTTTTTTTTCATTTTTTGACATATCGATCATAATTAAAAAAATATTCTTCTTCTTTATTCATTCTTCATATTCATATATTTTATCGAAACTTTCAATTTTATGCAAAATTACGATAAAGGGTCGGCTTTTATTTTATTTTAGTCATTTTTAGGGTGGCGCTAAGGTTGAATCTGGCATTGGGCGTATCTCTAATAAAATATAATTACCTATAATGTAAGCAAATCCGGAATTTAAACTACTAACTAAACTAAATAAAACAAAATACAGGGCCACCATTGTAACAGCCAACATAATTAAAAACTAAAACTGATTAGTAGTATTAAAACTATTTATATACTTTAACCTATCTCAAAAAAGGAGCTAATATTTAATTAAGTGTAATTTTTGTGTTATCGCCGTTTGTGCATTGAACATTTTTTTAATTGGCTATTCCTCGATTATGTATTATAAATTTTTGATGTTGTATAAATTAATATTTTTGTATATATTCTCATTCTTTAAAAATATTGGTTATTGTTTATATATGAGGTTAGTAACTTCATTTTTCATAATACTTTCTTAGATTTACGCGAATATTTGACATTTAAATCTTTTAGATTTTTTCTCGGATTTATTTGGATTTTTGGTTTCCGACGTTTCGAATGCTTTACAGCATTCATGGTCACGGGAAAGTCTTTAGAGAGAAAAAATCCGAAAAGATAGTTCATTTTTCATGTTAACGGCTTCAAAGTGTGTTAGTTAGGCACAGATTACTTTCCCAATGCCACGTAGAATGGACTAGACACGAGGGTTAATGCTAGTAAATTATCCCCGATACGCTTGCGCGCGTTTCAACGTTAATTCAAAAACATCAGCTTTTCATATTTTTGCTAACGATCAGCGCCACTCTCAGCAAAGTTTATTACTAACAGCAACCTGTGTGGTGCCAGGTCAACTGAATTTCTTTCAAATCCATCCAGTCAATGTAGTGTAAAGTAATAACAAACAAACACATATTTGAAGAAATATATCGTGAAATAAGAGCTGTTATATGGTCAATCAGTCAGTTTTACTATATAATAAACTAACAGACAGACAATTTCATATTTAAAATATGTAAAAAGTAATACGTTTAAATAATCACATCACTACTACACATGCTTTTGTGTTTAGTTTTAATTAAATTTAAATTTTGTTGATAAGTTACATTACCTACGTGTATTAATAGGTAATGAGTTCATTATATTTATCATGTTTTGTCGAATTCAAACTTCACTAATTATTATAAAACAAAGTTCCCCACCGCGTCTGTGTGAACGCGATAAATTCAAAAACTAACGAACAGATGTTTGTACTCCAGTCATGGGTTTTATATTTGTAGTAGCTACGTATTGCATTTAAAGTTATATATGTATGTGTAGTGTATCATCGGTTAGGAGGTAGGGCACAGTGGGGTATATACCCTACTCGAATTGGAGCAGCCCGACTGGCAAGTACCTCCGCCTTACAGAAAATCGCAGCCAAATAACACTGCTCTATGACGGTGTTGTGTTCCTGCGGTGAGTAAGGTATCCAGAGCTCCAGAGGATTTATTGTGTTGATAGAGAGGGGCCGGTGATGCAAACGGCACAGTCATCGGCCGGTGTAGGCGCGGTGTGTGGGCGCAGCGGTCAGTGAGACCCAGTGAAACGGTTCGTCGCTGGCCGCCCGCGGGTCAGTAGAGTTCCCGAACCCAGGGATTACCTAATCTCCGCCCTGGGAGGCTGAACTGCCAACCCGCGTAAAATCCCTGCTGTAGCAGTCGTGCCGGAGGAGGAGACCGGGGTGGACCCGGCTGTTGCAGTAGGGGGGGACTGGGGGCCCTCTCGTACGCTGCGCTGACAACCCGTACTACCTATGCTAGCCTGTGGCTGGTCTGCATTGCAAATTTGCCCCTTTACCTATCAACACAACAAATCCTCACAACAACCTATAAACCACCCCCACCAAGAAAATGAAGAACAAAAGGAAAAAGAGTAAGTGTTACACAGCGGCTCCCATCTCCACACAAGTGGACTTCTGCAACATCAGGGGGCTCCATGCAAACCTCAGCGCAGTCCATCACCATCTGGAGACTGCGCAGCCGACCTTACTATTCCTCACGGAGACGCAAATATCTTGCCCGGCCGACACATCATACTTGCACTATCCCGGCTACAAACTAGAACATAAGTTTCTAAGACGTGCCGGTGTATGCATGTTCGTTCGGGAGGATATCTGCTGTCGCCGTCTCCTTCATTTAGAGGACAGGGACCTCTCGATATTGTGGGTGCGCGTGGACTACGGTGGCCACACCCGTATTTATGCGTGCCTATACAGGTCTCATAGCGGTGACAGGGAAACAAAAAGACTCTTCGAGCACCTGCAATTGACGACGGACAAAGTTCTTGAGCAATACCCCTCTACGGAGTTGGTGATTTTAGGAGACTTTAACGCCCACCACACTGAATGGCTCAGTTCTCGGTCCACTGACTACGCGGGGAGGTGTGCTCACGAATTTGCTCTGGCCTATGGTTACTCACAACTGGTGCATTCTCCAACAAGAATACCAGATATTGAGGACCATACGAGCTCAATACTGGACCTTCTGCTGACTCAACGTCCGGATGGATATTCCATCTCAGTAGATGCACCACTTGGCTCGTCCGACCACTGCCTTATCCGGACTCTTGCACCATGCGCGCGCCCAGATCCACCTCGGCCAACTAGCTTGCGGCGCATGTGGCAGTATAAGTCAGCAGATTGGGATGGATTGCGAGAGTACTTCGCATCGTACCCGTGGAGTCAATTGTGCTTCACATCAGAAGATCCCGACATCTGCGCAGCTGCTGTCTCCGAGACAATATTGGCGGGTATGGAATGTTTCATTCCAAACTCGCTAGTTGCTGCCGGGAAAAAGAAACGACCGTGGTTTAATCGGCCTTGTAAGAAAGCGAGATACATTAAGCAAGCCGCGTTCAGGGATTGGATCACGGCTCGGAGTAATAGCGATCCAAATCTTTCTGATGTGAAACGCAAACTAAATGCCGTCTCGAGGTCCAGTAAAACAATTGTCAGAGCTTTATTCGAGTTCATCGGGAGAATTGGCGAAAAGCTGGCTAGTTACCCTTCCGGGAGTCGAGCCTTCTGGTCGCTCGCCAAAGCTGCCGAGGGGAACTTTTGTCTGTCGTCCTTACCACCACTGCAAAATGCCGACGGCAACCTGGCCCATAGCGCCAAAGAGAAAGCCGATCTACTAGGTACACTCTTTGCCACAAACTCGACTTTGAAGGTCAATGAAAGCGCCGCACCGCCAACCATCCCACGGTGTGGACACTCCATGCCGGAAATAAATTTCTCACAAAGAGAAGTCCGGCGGGAGCTGCTAAGTCTTGATGTACATAAGTCGAGTGGGCCCGACGGCATACCAGCAGTGGTACTCAAACAGTGTGCTCCTGAGTTGTGCCCTGTACTAACGCGACTTTTCGCACTTTCCTACCAATCTAGGCAAGTACCGTCTTCGTGGAAGACCGCCCATGTGCACCCGGTGCCCAAAAAGGGCGATAGATCAGACCCATCGAATTACAGGCCTATCGCTATTACCTCTCTTCTCTCCAAGGTTATGGAGCGTGTTATTAATACCAAGCTCCTCAGATACCTAGAGGAACACGATTTGATCAGCGACCGGCAATACGGCTTTCGCCACGGTCGCTCGACTGGTGACCTTCTAGTGTATCTGACACACCGGTGGGCTTCAGCCATCGAGAGTCAAGGTGAGGCGTTGGCAGTTAGCCTAGATATAGCAAAGGCGTTCGATCGGGTCTGGCACCGGGGTCTTCTCTCGAAGTTGCCATCTTACGGACTACCCGAGGGCTTGTGCAAATGGGTTGCCAGCTTTTTATCTGGTCGATCCATCAGAGTCGTCGTTGATGGCTGCTGCTCGGAAAAACTAGATATAAACGCTAGTGTATCAACTATCTGGTATCCATAACACAGGCCTCGTAGCTTACCATGGAACGAGATGGTGCTGTGTGTTAATGTCCCTACAAAAAAAAATTAAGAAGAAGGTTTAGGTATAGGTATAATTCAATTACTTTGACGACTTAGAATCTAGCTATTCGCTTTATTTTTGGCTTGCGCAAGCATGACCATGTATCAAACTTTCGTGCTCAACTTAAATGGCTCCCAATCCGACTTCGCCGTGATATGCACTATAATTCGTTAAGGTTTTGTAAAGAAAGGCTGAAATATGACGATGATTGTTGAAGATTTCGGAAAAAAATCATGCCAACTGGGAGCTTTACTGCGCCGCGTAAACTGTTGTAGGCAGAACCACGAAATGTTCTAATCAATTAAAAAACATAAAAATTACTAAGTACACAAAAGTTCACAATAGCATATACATATCTATCTTTTAAAGTAGACTCACAATAACCATTATTATGGTTCTCAAATTGGGTCTAAATTAATGATTTATTTGCTAAAATGTTTTTTGTAAAGAAAAAGAAAGTTAGACAACTCTAATTAAAATAGTATATCCCACGGAAATCGAACCCAGGACCTTCAGTGCTATAAATTGAGCCAGTGACATAACATAACATATTTTTTGTGTATTAACTAGCGACTTACCCCGGCTTTGCTCGGGTGCGTCCCTAAGTACGTTTTAAATTTCTTGAAAGTCCCGTGAAAATCGGTCCAGCCGTTTCGAAGATTAGCCGAAACAAAAAGACAGACAAAAATTTTAACAATTGTGTTTTTATTATAAGTACCGTTATATAATTACATATGCATTTAGTAAAGAGCTGTTATTTTGACATTAAAAACAGACAAATTAATTTTATTTATCTGTATAGATAACCTGGAATACTATATAGAAAAAAAATTACATAAATAAAAACTCGCCTGGGTAAAAAGAAAGTAATAAAACAACAACATGGTATTATGGAAGACTCGCAACAAGTCAAGTAGAAAAAAGTCCCACATAAGCCCAAAATACTTGTGGCGAGCTGTTGGTGAGTGGCGACACCACGGACCTGGAGGATATAACATCCGTCAAGATCAACAATCACAGGTGTCCAGATTCGAATCTCAGTGACATACAAAGTTTTTACTTTTATTTAAAAAAAAAAAACGCAAGATTGACAATCATAGGTGTCCGGGTTCGAATCCCGGTCGGATACAACGGTATAAATTTTTTTTGTTTTTTTTTTTTGTATTTATTCAAGTTTTTAGTTTTTTTTTTTAAAGAAAATTGCACTTTTTAACGAAAAACTCCGAAGCTCGGTGGCCTAGGTACTAGCATAAAAAACAAAAAAAAGATGGTAAGAAGAAGAGTTTAAAGGGTTTTTAAGGGTTTAAATAAAAAAGAGTGCGTATATCGTGTAGTGTGTACACGCCGCAAGAAGTAAAACTTTTGTAGGTTATCGGTATCTTTTATGAACTTCAATTTATATTTTAAATACTTAATATAGGAGAGATAGTAAAATAATAATTTCTAATCGATTTGAAGAGAAAAAAAAATTAATTACAGTACAGATGGTGTTAAGATAAAATTTAACTTTCAATCAAATGCTGTAATGATTCAATAAGTTATATACTCCAATAAAATAAATAAGAATACAGTGATGAAAATTTTATGTAAAAAAATTATACTTATAAAGTATAAAAAAATATTTCTAGTGAATAATTTTTAACAAAATTTATTTGATATGATACCATCGCTCATTTAAAAATTAAGAAAGAAGTTTTTTATAAGTATTTTTATTTGTGTAATTTATTATTTGAATTTAATCATTTCAAATGATAAAGAAATGGAATTAGGAGGTATTTTTAAAATTATTTTTTTTCAGAAACGCAGGTTTCTCTTATGAGAAAAATCCCTAAAATTCAATCTCATTTTAGTCATTTAAAAACAAAATTAAAAAGCAAGATTGTACGGATTTTTTATTTAACCATTTGTTGTTAATGGTTTAACCATTTACTGTTGTTAGTGGTTTATCATGCTCCGAGTCAGGATCTTCTTGCGTATGGCAGAAATTGTTAGCTGCTAAGTCACATTTAACGCTGGACACCTCCAGGAACGGCTCCGTGACGGGAGCTGGTGTCTTTTCGGGAAGCCTGCGACGACCGTCTTGGGCGAAGACACATGCCACCATGCAGCAAATGAGCAGGAGTTTATACATGCTAGAAATATCCGAATTATAAATACTAATGTTCGGCAATGGTCGAAATTCCACTATTCATTATTGAAAAAGAGGCAAATAAGAATAGAATTTTCTATCAGTATAAAAAAAAGCTGAATTTGTTTTTTTTTTATTAATAAAACTAAAGCTTGTCAATATATCTACTAAAAAGTTACTCCTGTAGACCGATCATTAATTTTTAGTTTTAATTCCACATTAAAGCTACCAAATTTCAAAATTACCGCTCAATCTCATCCGTGTCTTCCTCACAAAACGTGACACTGGCAGAATGGATTGCGTCTGTTAAACAACTATATGCCAATGAGGAAAAAAAAGGCATTGGTTGACCAATAATAATTGAAATAGTACAGTAGGTTGACTGAGGAACATAGTATGTCTGTATGTCTATGTACTTACGAGTATGTATGTAATAGAGAGCATTAGATACGTAATTGGTAAACTAAACACGATTTGATTAATATCTAAATTATTGAAAAAAAATGGTTAATATTATTTTCTTCAATTTACGCGAATACTTGACATTTTAAATGAAACTATCTTTTCCGATAATATTGCGATTTCATTTTACATTATGGTTCCCGACGATGATCTTTACAACAAACACGGTTACGGGAGATACTAAGGGTTTAGTCTTCTCAAAAGTTTTATATAATTGTTAGTGTTACTATTGTTAATACTGTTAAATGACTATTTCTTTTAACGATTATTCTAGACCACTAGAGAGTATTACGTATGTATATAATATATACCTAATAATTAAAAAACTTAACACAATGATTATGTTACTCGTTGATTAGATTATGGTACTCGTAGTATCTTCTTATTTTTACTAAGAAAAAAATTTTCATGCCTTATTTATTAATAAGAAATAAAATAAAAAACATAAAAAAAATTGAGTTTCTATAGAAACGTGTTAAAAGTGAAACTTCATTGGTTATTTTAAGCCGCATGTTATAAGATTTTTTCTGTCAGAAAATTTCTGACGATTGCGTGGTGGTACCGGTGGACCTGTCAGAAACTGCGCTCCGAGTCTAAAATTGAGGTTACTGATGCGAACTGATACGAATTTCTGTTAAGTGTGCGCGGTCTAGTAGAAAATGTATAGACAGCGCGCCCTCCGACGTTCTGATCAGAATAAATCTGACAATAGATTGCATCCGGGACTCATCAGAAGCGGACGTCAGATACGTCAGAATTCTGATAGTATACGGGGTCTAGACCAATTGAAGATAGCAACGGAAAGATCAAAGAATGTCATACATATATATCATTTTTCAGACTTTACTCTCATGCGCGCAAAGAAGTTTCACTTTAAAAATGCAAGATTGTTATATAATTAAAATATTTTTTTTATATTTTTCATTGTATACTAAATAAATATATCGAATTATGATTTTTTAAGAAACTAATCGTTAGTTCCTTAAAAAATCATGAGTAATACTTACTTCTGCTGTACTTGAATGATCGTCTCTCTTCAAAGTGATTACTTACTCGTATGGAACACTGTATTGACCGAAGAATATATATATAAAGAAGCATGTAATCAAAATAAATAATGTAATAAATAAAAAAATTGCTTAGTATGTTAGATTTTATGCTTTGCAAAGCATAAAATAATTGTTTTATTCATAGACACATTTTTTGCGAGTTTGACACGGCAGAAATTATCAATATATGTATGTATGTACATATTTAGTTCTTTTTAACATCCAACTACTGGGCACGGGCCTTCCTCCAATACGAGGAAGCTCAGGCCTTAGTCCACCCTGTTCTCTTAAATCTGCAGACACCGTAAGACAAGTGGTAATCATATTGGAAATGATTCGCACATGAAAATATCAGAGGTGAGAGAACCGGGATTTGAATCCGCTTAACTCGTTTTCCCGAGCGAGCTCGTTACCACTGGGCTACTACTGCCTTTGATTATTAAGAACTAATATAAATTACCTATGTTACTAGTGACTTACCCTTGCTTCACTCGTTTGCACCCAAGGTGCTCTTTGTATTTTTATACAATAATTAGATCATACAGGCGCCATCTTTTGGCAAATTCTATTACTACCATCCCCTAAATATGATTTCAACTTGTATTGTTGGGTTAAGTGTTTATGATTATAAGATACTTGCATAAAAAAAATTGCTAACAACTCTCTTAAAATTTAAACTCTCGATAAGAATGAGCTTCAAATTCACTCTGATCATAGAACATTATACTCGTATATTATTTTAAAACATTATTTTTTGGCTTCATGTTCAGTTCTATGATATTTCTATATTAATCTTTAGTTACTCGTAATTACCTATTACTTAAAATGTATTAAATATTGTAATACTAGCCATATTACTAGTAATACTGTAATATTGCCCACGACTCCGACCGCGTTCAGATGACCAAAAAGCAAATTCGTAGGTTTTACATATTAGTATATTCTTACATTACAGTTTTTGTATTTTTCTCAGAAATGAGACATTTTCCCGCGGTAAAAAGTATCCTATATGTTGACCCGCACAACTAGCTATCACCAAAACAAATTTCATTAAAATCCCTCCAGTGGTTTTTCTGTGATGCAGTAACAGACAGACAGACAAAAATTCTAAAAACTATAGATTCGGCCTCTGTATCGATAATAATGTTAATTTTAATAAGATTTTCCAAAAAATATTTAATGTAACGATTCAGCTTAGTTACTATTTTATTATAGGTATGTATAGATTGTGTTTAAAATATCTTCCTATATCCTGAAAGACATTTCTAGTTAAGAAGTTAGAGCTTTGTGCTTTTACAATCATTTTTTTACTGGAATGAAAGACTGTATTTTTTTTAAATCTAGCTTTTTCAATTTAAAAAAAAAGTACTAATAATAGTTTAAATCGACAAACGTTACTCTTAAACAATTAAATAAAATTGTAACTATTTTGAGATAGAGAAACATACAGTCAAAACAAATTAAGCATGTAATTAAATAAAAAAGCATATCGTGTTACATTTTGGCATTGCGAATTGTGAAGTTGATAAGGAGGACTTATCGTTTTCTTATTTAATAATTTTTGATTTGATTGCTTTGATTAAGGCCTTTTGACATGGTACTGCTACGGGCTCTGTGCGAGTGCGGGGATCAGGCCATATTCCACCACGCTGGCCAGGTGGATTTCATAAGTCTTTCGAACACTAGTTAAGTTATCTTTGGCATATAGGTTTATTCACGATGTTTTCCTTTACCGAAAGGAAAGTGGAAATCTGTTGTAAAATGATTCACATACGAAAATCTCAGAGGTGCGACACTCGGTGTTTGAACCCGTCACTTGAGTCTCGAGCTGGGCTACCACTATCTTGTTCTACCATTCAGTTTAGTACCCACTCGTATTAGAGTTGTAGCCACATAAATAAATCTGTGGTTTCAACTATGTCGTTTTGATACTCGTAGTTTAGGAAGTAGCGTAGAATTTTTACAAGGAATTTTATATCGGATGATTTTAATATTAAACAGCTGTTTATGTTCAATAATTAGGCAAATTTTTAACAAACAGCTGCTTATGTTGAATAATAAGGCAGAGAGGGTACATCTAATATTCCTTGGAACCCTATATATAATTTAAGACTTTAGTACATTTTAAAATCGCTTTTTCTCAGAAATGGTGAACCTTAGAAAAACGTGTAAGGACAATATTTGTAGATAATATTTTTGTCTGATCTATTTATATCTTAAAATTAACCGTTTCGCTGAAAAATCCAAAAAACCCATTTTTGCAAATTTTGACCTTGCATAAAATTTTTTGCACTCATTGGATCGATGGGGACTTTTCACAATTTCGTTATAATAGTATCCCTAACGTTCATGTAAATTTTCAGCTTCTTGGGAATTTATGCAATTTTTCAGGCTAACTTGAACGGACTAGTACTTTGAATTTTAGCTCTAAATTATTTAACGATAAAATTCAGATTTTTTCAATTTTATTATATACTCAAGCATGTACTCAGGCTCTTAAAGGATCTCTTTTGTTATAAAACCTCTTTTGTACACAACACTTTTTAGATACAAAATTTGAGCATTACAAGCTTATTTCTATTTCTAATATATAAAGTGTGTTCAAATACAAGTAATTACGAACGTGACGAAACTAAAGTTTTTTTTTTGAAAACATTATTTTTTATATATTTATTTATTTTTTATTAGATTCACCAGTGGCAATTACAAAATTACAACTTATTATTATATACAATAGTTCTTATAGCTAAATGCATTAACTTTTATAGTAATACCACAGGAAGGACATTTTGACAAGCTAATTAAGAACATTATATTACACAAATTCTTAATTATAAATAATTGCAATAATAAATCATTATAAATAATGTAAATAATATATATTTATAATAAATTATAGCAACACATTCTATTACCGAGAAGATTACAGAGTCCATGCTAAGGTGGTATGGACACGTAATGCATAGACCATATGACCACATCGTGAAAAAGTGCCTTTCCATGGCTACAAAAAGGAGAGGGAGAGGTAGACCACAAACTACCGGGATGACAAATGTCCGGAAGGACATGCAAAAGCTTGGCCTTACAGAGGATGATGTTTACCAGATAAGTGAATGGCGCCAAAATTCGTTGATTTACTATTACAAGGTTCTATGTTAATTTTAATGAAGTTTAGTAATTTTTACATAGAGCTTCGTTATTTTGTTATCGTAAAAAAACATAGAACTATGTAAAATTGAATATTTTGTATTTATAGTGCCGCTATCTAGTGGTTTGTTTTTGCAAAACTGTAACTAAGGACACATAGAACCTTGTAGCATTCATAACTAAATAAGTACTAAAATTCTAACATAGAACCTTGTAATAGTGAGCCAACAAATGATTAAGAAAGCCGACCCCGCGTAACAGGAAGAGGTGAGGGCAAAGAAGAAGAAATTATAGCAACAATATTTTTGATATAAATAAAAATAATATAAACACATTATTTTCAATTGATTAACAAATGTCATTACAAAATAAGGAAGCAATAAAAATGGAAATCAAGGAATGTTTTTTATTATGAAAGAACTTCAGTAAGACATCTCCGAATGAATCATTTTACAGAAACTTTTGGAATTTCACAGAAACGTGACATAGGTGAGTAATTATCCAAAACAGATCTGCGAGAAGACATCTCAGACATCTAGGAACTTTAAGATTGAAAATTGACACTAGCGATGGATTATCGTATATACTGTTCAGACTTTTAGTTAGAAAACTTGAGTCCAATATATCTCTTCTTTGTTCCAGACTGTCCATCCTAAGTAAGCGTAAACCCAGATGGAAATAGACCAGAGAGAAATGAAATGAAATTTTATTCATATATACTTATTATAAGCATTGTATTCACTAACTTCACTTTTAAAAGTCAGATGATATAAAAAACGCTTTTGAAGCTTTTGAATTCTTAGACAGCGAATAGCACAATGAGGTCTCCAGACAAAACTTTCATATTCAAAAATAATCACAACTAAAGTGTTATAAAGTCATTCTTGTATGAATATTTATAAAACCCTACAATTTTGAATTACGAACTCTAGCATTTTACTGGAATTACTAACGACACTATCTATGTGGTACAAATGTAACTCTTTTATCAAATAAAATACCTACAGCTCTAATAATATCTACAGTACTAAGAAGCATGTCATTTAAATAATATTTTGTGTAGTTATATCTGTTTGTTTAGGGATCCGTAACCACCCCCCCAACGTGCGTTCACCTTGTCGTGGTGGGGGGACTCAGTCGTGCCCGGCAATACAGCCGGGCGCGATGCCAAGAAACGCACAGGGAGGTGTACCATGCGGGTTGCTCCTGGTACTTCTCTGATAGCAGAGTGGACCTTGGAGCAACCCCGTGGTTGTTGTTGTCTGCTTTGGCAGACCTGCCGTCGGGGGGTCGTAGTTGAATTCGTAAGCGATCCTGCGACGCCCCATTAAGACGGGGGAAGGTTTTGTTGGGTTTTAGTGAGTAGTACTGGCTTCGCCGGTGAGTCCCACACTTCGTGCGTAAATGCATTTCCCAACGTAAAAAAAAGGGTTCCGTAACCAAAGGATAAAACGGGACCCTATTACTAAGACTCCGCTGTCCGTCCGTCTGTCTGTCTGTCCGTCTGTTACCAGGCTGTATCTCGTGAACAGTGATAGTTAGATAGTTGAGTTTTTCACAGATTATGTATTTGTGTTGCCGCTATAACAACAAATACTAAAAAATAGAATAAACTAAATATTTAAAGCGGCTCCCATACAACAGACATGATTTTTTGCCGTTTTTATAGATGCCGACGCACTTGGCCGGTTTTTTTTCTTTGGAAAATGTTATATGCGAGCACTTATTAAAGTTCAATATCATACCATCTACAACAATTATGCAAGCTAGTCAAATCCTCCTGTAACGAATTAATACCATTAATATTACTGATAGTTTTAAGAAGTTCGAATAAAAAAGAAAACAATGTATTTTTTAATAAATTTTATTAAGTGCATGAAATTATGTTAAACATAAAAAAAACGATAAGTTAAATTGATTAGAACTTATCGAATTGTATAATATTAACCTGCTGACCTTTAAAATAATTTCATACTGTTCAGGATGTGTTCGAAAATAAAGTTTAAAACTTTAAATCAATATTATTAATAATTGTTTACACTTCCACTCGATAGATGGGGTTGTACTTATTTTTAGTGTCTTGCTCTGAAGTACAGTAGTTTCATTTTAGTATCACTAGGCTGTTTGGCACCTAGTACCGTTAATGTACACATACACTTAAAATAAATAAATATGTTGGGACATTAACACTCAGCACAATCTAGTTCCATGGTAACCTACGAGGCTTGTGTTATGGATACCAGATAGTTGATACACTACACATATATAACTTTAAATACATATATATTATAAATATAAACACCCATGACTGGAGTACAAACATTTGTACTCATCACACAAGTGAATGCCCCCAGCGGGACTCGAACCCGAGTCCGCTGGCACAGCAAGTAGGGTCACTTCAAACTGAGCCAAACGTGTCGTCCAATACTATATAATACTATCACTACTGTTAACTGCCTCGGTGGTGTAGTGGCGAGCATGTACGGCTGCACACCCGGAGGTCCTGGGTTCGAGTCCCGGGTCGGGCCAGGTTTAGTTATTGAGCCCCCCCCCCCCAACGTGCGTTCACCTTGTCGTGGTGGGGGGGCTCAGTAGTGCCCGGCAATCCAACCGGGCGCGAAGCTAAGAAACGCACAGGGAGGTTGCCCACTTCGGTGGGTGGTGGGAGGTGGCCCTCTTTGGGGGGCGGTGTACCATGCGGGTTGCTCCTGGTACTTCTCTGATAGCAGAGTGGACTGTGGAGCAACCCCATGGTTGTGGTGGTCTGCTTCAGCAGACCTGCCGTCGGGGCGTCGTAGTTGAATGCGCAAGCGATCCTGCGACGCCTCATTAAGACGGGGGAAGGTTTTGTTGGGTTTTAGTGGGTAGTACTGGCTGTATTACGCCGGTGAGTCCCACACGTCGTGCGTAAATGCATTTCCCAACGTTAAAAAAAAAAGGTTTAGTTATTGAGTCTTTATGTATAGTAAGCCTCAGTAACAGCCCGGAATTGGGAAGTTGGCGGTGTTTTACCCCCATGCCTCGGAGAGCACGTAAAGCCGTCGGTCCTGCGCCTTAACTCTCACCGGTCGTGTTGAATGGTCGTCCCACCGGAGTATGAGAGTGATAGGAATAGAGAGTGCACTTGTGTCTGCGAGTACACTTGTGCACTATAATATCTCCTGCGCAGTTGGCTAGTCTCAATGAGATTGGCCGCCGTAGCCGGAATCGGTCAGGAGAACATCATCATCAATACTATCACCTATATATAGGTGATGTATCTACATCTAATGCTATCACCTCTTTCTCTTTGACATTTGTTTTATAATAGAAATTAAATTTTGTCTTTGACTCGGGGGCACACTGAACATTTATTTACATAACATTTATTATCATAAATAATATATCATCATAAATAAATCGGCACTACTATTTTTGTATAATAAATATTGAATTAATTTCTGCGGTTCTGCCCCAATAAGATAGTTATCCCGTTAGATAAAATACTATGAAAATAACTAAAATATACAAGTCTTATTGACGGCCGTCGTCCGTTAGGTGTTTAACTTTACTTACTGCAAAAGCGATAAAAATGAGTTTACTCACAAGTGTGGAGAAATGAGGGTTCTACTGGAGCTTAGAATCCTATGTCATACCTATAAATAATACTGATTCAGTTATTTCTAGTGTTTAATTATTCAGAACCAAACTATACTTTTGCTTTACTATGTGTAGGCAAATTAAATTCGATATACTTATTTCGTTTTTCTTATTTTGCATGTAGTACTTATTCCGACAAAGTACTGTTTGTTTACATCGTCATAATTTGTTTATTACGCTCGACTTTAAAAATTAACAAGGTATCATCAGAAAAAAAGTTTCTGCCTACAATATCACATAGGAAGGTAAATCATTAATATCTATCAAGAATAAAACAGAACAAAGAATAAATCCTTGTGGAACACCCGCAGACGGACATTAGATCAATAAAAAGAAATCCTTATGCATTATACAATACATTTATTAAGAAAGTTTATAGAATACTTACATCATATTATAAATCTTAGATGCCCATACATTATATACATGTAAAGAAACTACCTACGCGAAGAAAGTCGCAGTCAAAAACTAGGTACAATTCTATTTGTTTATTATGTATATTTTATTCTATCATTTGAATACGTGATCATAACTGAGAGGGCCTTATCTTTTGCGATATCTTATCAGATTATTAAAAAAAAAACAAAAGGATAAACCGGTATTGTACTGTTAGTCATAAAGTCAAAACATAATTACGGTACATTATTGTTTGAACTCTAGCTATATAAAGCGTTTTTATACGAGCTACAATATTTAATAGTGATTTGGTCAGAAAAACGTCTGTGAATAAATTCGAAATGAAAACTTTGGTAAGTTTCACATGTTATACTTAGATGAATGACGTAGAATGACGACACGTTTGGCTCAATTTGTAGCGACCCTACTTACTGTGCCAGCGGTTGCGGGTTCAAGTCCTGCTGGGGCATTCATTTGTGTGATGAGCACGAATGTTTGTACTCTAATCATAGGTGTTTATATTTATAATATGTATGTATTTAAAGTTATATATGTGTAGTGTATCAACTAGCTGTATCCATAACACAAGTCTCATAGCTTACCATGGAACTAGATGGTGCTGTTTGTTAATGTCCCAACATATTTATTTATTATTTATTTTATTTATTAGACTTTAAGAATATGGATTTGATTCACGCTTCGGTCATTTACTTTATTAATATGATATTTCTATCCATTTATTTATTTATTTATTTTTGTATATGGTGGCATTACGAACACTGTTGTATTGTTATATACGCTAGTGTTCGCCCAGTAGTTGAAATACGACCATAATCATTATTGAAAATTTGAGAAAAACATATTATATAAATAGAATTTACCTATCTATATAATTATAATACTGTTTTCAACATTTTCTAAACTCTAAAACTAATAAACTAAAAAAAAAAGAAAATTGATTGACAAATAGAATAGAAAAATGTACGGAACTATATAGTATATTTTGAAATAAATAAATATTAAAAATGCGACAATTTGGATGGATTGGACTGGATGTTTGTTACTCATCACGCCAGAACGGCTTAACGGATCTGGATGAAATTTGGCACAGAAATTTCTTTACCCCTTTTTGAAGAGAAACTACTTTAGAATCGTTGTGATTTGAAACTCGATGAGACGAAAATGCAACACTAAAAATAGACAAACATAAATGTATAGGATTTAACCGGCGAGAGAATGAGATATAATGCATTTCCATGTTGACATGGTAACCGTTGATTGAGACAGAATACATTACACAGAAAGTGAAAAATAATAAAATTACATAATCACTATTAAGCAATGTATATTTATGTCAAATAAAATATAAAATAACTTGATAAAAATATTTTAAAAAATTAAACTTACAATTATCCTACTCCTAGTACTCTATATTCATCTCATTCTCTCATAGGTTACTTTTCTGAATATTATCTATTTCGTACTAACCGTTAAATGTACCTAATTAAAATATGTAGCATATTCAATGAGTAACAATTTGTGATACTTTTTCCAGTGCTTACTCTTCTTAGCCGCAACTCTACAAATGCTGTCGGCGGCTCCAAAAGACCTGCTTGATAAAGAACGAGATATATTAAAAAATCTCCATAAATCTTGGCACACAGTCGAGCCACCCCCAGAATATCCAAGGAAGGGCGAGTATGAATGCAAGGGCGGTATATGTAAAACAAAAGTACCCTGTAAAGGTTGTCAAGGACCAGTACCTTTGGATGTAAACTGGGAATATATTTAATAAAAATAAAATTTTGTTTTTTATTTGGCATCTTTTCTAAGAGCTATATCTTAGATTAAATAGTGTATTTAGCCACCAAACAAATCTTTTTCGCGGTGACCATGTTACAGAGACAAGCATCTACAATGTACACAGAAAATTACTGTGATAATCTTCGATCTACAATTGTTGTATCACAACTACAGTATAATGTGGATCGAAGGTCATAATTTGTATAAGTGATTTTTTTTAAATCCCTTCAAAAAATCACGCAAAAAAAAACCTTTTTGGACCGTCCGTCGTGATTTGGCCTATAAAATTATGAAAAAAGTATCGAGTAAAACTAATCAAACAGTGTTTCAACATCCTTAAAGTTTATAAAAATATTAAAAAAATATTAAATAATTGTGTAAAATTATTTTTTTTAATTAGTCTATTGTAAGCATAATCGTGGTCTTTCTTTTAACTTTTTTATTAATAGTAGCCGAAAACCATATGACTAAAAATTATATTACACCAAAACAATAATTATATAACTTTTCTAAAAATCCAATTACGCGAGTAAATAAACATTTTTGTAATAAACTAGAGATGCTTAGATACCTTTATCGTTAATCTGTTGCCTCACTTAGTTAAGAAACGAGGTATTTGTTATTTTTAAACAAGCTTTCGGGTATGGTTAGCTCTCGTAAAATCATTAGAAAAGATTCGAGAAATAAACTCTAAACATCACATTATTTAGTAGATTAATTAAAACTCATTTATGTCTATTACGCTAAAGATAGCAATTACTTTCATAAAAAAACAAAAGATCTTCAAAAAAGTCACTGCTTTTTTATGGCCAAAAAAAATATGGTAAGAGAAACGTCGTCATGTATAATTAATTATTATTATTAAAATCCAAGTATATAATTTCGATATTTTTAAACAAAATAAAAAAAAATACTTACCCGTACTTTATACGACATACATACTGACCAAAAAGTAAATAAGTTGATAAACAAATATGGCTTAGTTTATATCCGTCCGTTAAAGCAAGTAGTCGTTGCGCGATAAAATTAAAAAATAAAATGTCACTTTTTCCCGCCTTTACATCAAGGTCAATACCCCTGTACGTGTCTTGATTTTGAAAAATGTTCACGAAGCGTTTAGTCATTGTTTACGAACATTGCAAGAAATTACAATTTATTCATCCTCTAATATAGCTTTGAATTGATTTTTTAAATTATTTTATTGTTAGTCAAAATGGCGCTGAATTTAATTTTGTTTATACTTTTATTTTATGGAGTGAAATGTATTGATCCAAGAGCTGAGGAAGGCTATCCCAGAGGATTTATGTCAGTATGTATGTGCATATTTTGTGTTTTAAACAATAATTTCATATAAGTACGAATAGTCTTAGAAATTTTCCAAATTAACGCGTCTAGAATAAAAAAATATATTTTATTATCAAAATTAAAAATTACCGTTTTTTTAATGCATGAAAGTAAATATTAAGTAATAAAAAGTTATATTAACATATCAATATTTAGATATCAGGCATTATCAATTAATTTTGTTAATTAAAGTTACCTTAAAAAAAATAATGTATTAAGTAAATAAATGAGTACATATATCTAGAATGCTGAATAAGAAGCTAGAAAATGCTGTGAGTGAACGTTAAGAAACTAAGAAAGTCAGAATTTCAACACTAGTGGTAAATTGCCGGCTATTACATGTAATTTCACTCGCCCACTTTAATATGTTTTATTATGTCATTAACCTTTTCAATTATTATATCGGATTCACATAGTTATATGTTAACAAATGAGTAAGGCTTTCAATGTGTAATACGGAGAAGGTCATGGGTTTTAACTGCACAGACATAATATACGTACGAATAGGTATATCAACCAAAAACTGACCTTTTAATAGAAAATATCTGGGAATAATCTATACACCTAATTAAATTCTGAGTCAAATCTTATTCTTTGGAAAATGTTATTGAAATAGACATTATTATCGATATAGAGGCCTAATCTATAGTTTTTATAATTTTGATGTCTGTCTGTCTGGGAACGCATCACGAGAAAAACACGACATGAAATTTGGTCAACATATCGGATACTTTTTACTGCAGGAAAATATCTCATCTCTGAGAAATCTATACTAACCGTTAAAACGTATCCTAGGGACGATCCCGAGTGGAACGACGGTGAGTCGCTAGTATATATTATAAATAGAAAAAATAAATTTAAATATTGTGTTAAAGAAAAAGTTTATGAGAAATATTTCAAATGCAATAAAAACTATCCTTTTTGCTTTTTGAATCTTTATATTCAAAAAGGAGGAAGTACCTAACTAATTCGGAAATTGTGACGTGATTTTCATATTTGTACTATACTAATAGACTCAGACTAAGGAATAATATAGACAGAGTGTCATAGAACAAAATATGTAAGTAAGTCAAACAATGTTTTAAAATAATATTTAAAACTGATTACAAAATATATTACACATGACATTGAAAAAAAAAGGTTCCGACGATTTGAGAACCTCCTCCTTTTTGGAAGTCGGTTAATAAGTACATAAATGTAATAAATAAAATTAGCTGATGGATTTTATTATGATAAAAAAAAAATAAGTCAGTATTAAGATATCTCTCTTTCAAGGAAAAGAGAGGGAATGCTTGAAAATACAAAAGAACAAAGTATTTTTTTCTATATATTTTCTAATCAAAAATTGTAATTTATTGAAATATAAAACCTATATAAAATAGCCCTTATTCACTGAAGAAAGTAAACGACCTGTATGGTAAAATCAAGAATAAACAGAATAGTAGCATAAACAGAAAATCACGCACTGTCTATATTTCTTTAGTCTAATTGTAAGACAACAAGTAAGAGACACATCTTATTAATATTAATATAGATATTTTATCACGAAACATCTAGTGACGTAACCTAAATCTAAATATCTCACTAAGTATGGGGTACTCAGGGTGTAAACTCTTACTCTTAGAATTATAATTTAAAAACCCGTGCTTTGACCCCATTAAAATTCCATAAAAAGCCCCGCACGTAACATCAATATGTAATATTGCGCATATCCTGTCTCACTTAGCCCAAAACCGTACCATGGCGAAGTAGTCCAGAAGTTGAAAATTATTCTTTATTACTTAACGACACATTTGGCTCAGTTTGTAGTGACCCTATTTGATGTGCCAGCGGTCGCGGATTCGAGACACGCTGGGGGCATTAATTTATGTGATATCAGTCATGTCGTGGGTGTTTATATTTATAATAAACATATTATATGTATGGTGTCAAAATTATCTATAGGTATCTAAACATATAATAAAATTGTAACTAAGCCGAATCTGTACATTAAATATTTTTTGGAAATTATTATTGAAACAGACATTATTATCGATACAGAGGCCTAATCTATAGTTTTTAGAATTTTTGTCTGTCTGTTACCGCATCACGGAAAAACCACTGGAGGGATTTTGATGAAATTTGGTATGATGGTAGCTGGTTATACGGGTCAACATATAGGATACTTTTTACCGCGGGAAAATATCTCATTTAAGAGAAAAACAATATAAACTGCAATGTAAGAGTAGTGTATACTAATATGTAAAACCTAAGAAATTGGTTTTTGGTCATCTGAACGCGGGCGGAGCCGCGGGCAATGCTAGTGTATAATGTACATTCAATATTTTTTGGAAAATCTTATTGAAACAGTCATTGTTATATGTATATTATCGATACAGAAGCCGAATCTATAGTTTTTAGAAATTTTGTCTGTCTGTCTGTTTGGGAACACATCACGAGAAAACCACTGGACAGATTTCCTCATTCCTCATTGACCCCAGGAAAACTTAACAGAATATATTTTTCCACAGTAACATATCTCATATATTTTACTGTGTAAAAATACCTGTATAACAAGCTATCATCATACCAAATTTCACCAAAATCTGTCCAGTTGTTATCTCGTGATGCGTTCCCAGACAGACAAAAATTCTAAAAATTATAGATTCGGAATCTTTATCGATAATAATGATTATTTCAATAAGATTTTCCCAAAAAATATTTAATGTACAGATTCGACTCAGTTACAATTTTATTATATGTATAGATATTAGTGATTATTCCCAATCACTCATTAATTAACTGTATTACTCACACATATTATGCTATACTGGAAAAATATTTGGAAGTCCTTTAAAAATTATCAATAACTTATCTATCTATTACATATCTATCTATTCTAACTTCTAAGTTCATATGTATGTCTATTATTACACTAAACATAGAGCTACTTGGATTGCAAAATAATTTCCTAATTCATCTAGGTTCAAGACATACATAGGTATATCTAATCAAGAAAAAGTAAAATCATTGCCTCACACAAGAATCAAACTTACCACGTACTCGTAGTATTTAATAGCCATTTAATAGAAAAACTCAAAAATATATAAATATGTGAATCAAACTGATGTTTTTTAACGTAATTTCTCTCTAACATTGTTATTTGTAGGAACAAAGTTAAGTGTTTCTACGAGTATATACTACCGTGTGAATATCATTTGACAAAAGCTATGATTGTTATAGGAAACGTTTTTACCGCACAATTGAAAGTATCTATTGATTATGCACCATATAATTTACATACTATATTAATAATTTACTACTTTAAAATATTATAAATATATGTATTTCTTACACATCACTTCTTTTGTTCTTCTTTGTCTTAAGGCAGTGGTAGCCCAGTGGTGACGCGGTCGCTTGGGTAACCGAGTGGTTCAAATCCCGGGTCTCGCATCTCTGATATTTTCATGTGCGAATCATTTTCAACATGATTACCACTTGCCTTACGGTGAAAGAAAACATCGTGAGGAAACCTGCATGTCTGAGAGAACCTAGCAAGTTTTCGAAAGACATGTGAAGTCTGCCAACCCGCACTTGGCCAGCGTGGTGGACTATGGCCTGATCCCTCTCATATTGAAGGGAGGCCCGTGCTCAGCAGTGGGACGTTAAGAAGGGCTGAAAACATACATTTCTTAATGTTTCGTATCTAAGTATATATGTACTTGAAAGTTGAAAACATAAGTTAAAAACATCTTTCTAAACCTAAGGACAGACAGTGTCCAAATATAGTCATACGTTACAAGACCTGGTGACCAATTTCACCAACGTCACCTAAGTTTAAGGGATCCCCTAAGCATGGTTAGGGGGCTGTTAGGGGACAGTTTCTGTATCACCGACAGTTAGGGGTCACCTAAATGTTAAAATGCCACTTAAATATAGGTACTAGAAATACGGGCTGACGATGGTAAAACGAAATTTAATTTAGGGGCTAGTTTAGGGGAACTTTTAAGCTAGGGATCCCATACGTAAGTGGTAACTTGAGTGATGTTGGTGAAATCGGGTACCAGACACTCAAACTCAATGTCATATACCTATAGATCAAAAAATAAAATTACAAATAATAAAACCTAATAAAAACGGGCGTTTTTACCTTGTAACATCGTAATTCCTTTTTATTTTTTGACAAATTCCTACAATATAGCGTTACCTACATATCATGAAAAATATAGAAAAGTAGTCCAATCTCTGTATGTAAAAGTTTTTCCAAAAATTTGAAAAAATTATAGTGGGCGCTGCAGTCGCTCTGTCCCAAGAGTCGAAAATTCCCGGTATATTAAAATATATAACTAAGGAATATACATTTTTTGGAACGGATATGAAACCTTATGGAGATTGGACTCCTTGTCTATATTCTTCATGGGACATATATTGTAGTTGTCACAGATAAAAATTTTAACTAAAATTTTAGTTAAAGTACCTATTGATTGAAACCAAAAACAAAAAAAAGTGACTGATATTTTAAGTGAAAACTAATTTTAATTGTTTATATATATTCAAAAGTAGTTTTTATCAGTTAATAATTTTGACTGCAACAAGTGCAACTCTTAAAAGAACTAAAAGCCCTTCGATGTAACTTTTTTAATAATATAAATATATATATATATATATATATATATATATATATATATACACGTGTGTTCTTAATTAAAAGCAACTTATGTTGTAAATTAAAACCAAGCTATACAAATTAGAAATGGTAAATGCAATAAATGAAATAAGACTAGTGGAAAAAGTTCGCTTACATATATACGGTCAATAATTAACCTATGAGACAATACAGGGTATAAGCTATTTGCGTTCCGTCTCTTAAATCCATTCATCCACATCCATATTCATACTTCCATACTTAATATTATAAATGTGAAAATGTGTTTGTTTACTTGTTTGTCTTTTTTTCACGTCGAAACGGCTTGGCGGATTGGCTTGATTTTTTGTTTGGAGATAGTTGGAGACCTGGAGAGTGACATAGGCATTTAGGCTTTTCACCGCGGGAAATTATCTCTTTCCCACGGGAAAACACCTTATAATACAATCCAAAAAAATATTTATTATCAGAATAACTTGAAAGTTGGTACAAATGCTCTTCAAATACAATTAATTATTATTATTATTATAATGCAATACATACCATAACATTATTTTTAAACTCAGGCTTTCAATTTGAATAAGTGGTCTAATTTATATATTAAAAGTTAACAAAGAGCTGCGTGTTTCTAGATAATAATATATTATAGTATCTTTCACAAGCTAATTGTGGTTTTTGAAATATATATGGTCTGATGTACTTAATACTCTTGCCCGTAACCTTGTACGTATAGTGACTATAATACGAAGATAATATTTTAGTTTAAGTCATCTGGGGTAGAAGACACTCTGCAGGTGATAAGATATTTAACCCCCGACGAGAAAGAGGGGAGTTATAAGTTTAACGAGTGTATCTGTGTGCCTGAGTATCTGTCTGTGGCATTAATTTGTTTTTTTTTGTTTGAAAGGTAACTTGATCGAGAGTGTTCTTAGCTATATATAGCTATATTTAACTTGGTATCCCATTACTTTAATGACATTTCAATGATATGGTAACCTTGGCCTGATGCTGCAGCGTTATCTGGTATCTGCAAGATACTTAACTCTTTACTAAAATGCTGCAGAGGTATCGTGTTTGTGCTCATTGAAATGGTCTCAATGAATTAGTTTATTGTGTGGGGGTATTTTTAATTTGTAATTATTTTTTTAATTTAATTTATTGAGTTTTACTCATATAAATATGTCAAGTAATATAGCGAAGAAACAGACTCGGTGTGTAAAATTTTCATAGAAAACATCAAGAAGTGCCTACACAAAAACATCTCCAATAGATATTGTATAAAATAGTGGTTAGGCACTGTCTGTGAAGAAGTATGTGCTTGAGACGTCTATGACTTTAGTCTCGCCCGTGACCACGATTGCTGTAAAGCATTCGAAACGTCGGGAACCAAAAAATCAAAAAAAATCCGCGAAATAATCCGAAAGTAATAAGTTTTATTTAAAATCTCCAATAGATATAACATAATGTTATAACTAAAATAAATCTAAAACTTAAATAATTAAAAATGGATGTCTGATTCACTCAAATTAGTAAAATGTTTGCTCAAATTAGCAATATTCTGAGTTGAAACTTTCATCATTCATTATTCAGATAGGATCATTTATTCGTCATTTTCCTCTCTCCGTACACCGCAAAAGACGCTTTATTATTTGAAAACTAATAACTTGCTATAGCTCTGCCCTCGAAACATACACATAATGATATGTACATGATTATATTTGCTTCTTAGAAATCTTAGAAGTCGATTCAAACCTTATTCGAAATACCATATCGATTTGAACCTTTAAAATTACCATACGAGTCATTAAATACGCCTGGAGTTTTACTAACATCTCAAGTTTTGGCTCGTTTGATTTGATTCGACGAGTCCCGTAGGTTATAGTTGGTCAAAAGCGTGTGTCTTGTTATTAAAAATTTGTATAATCTATTAACATGTTACCAACTTTATAACTGGTACGAGTAGGTATCTCTCGGTCCATTGATTCTAGGAGATATTGACGAAGTAATCTCTGCTCTAGAGACTAGAGAAGCCATCAACAAGAGAATTTAACATCTTAAATAAAACTATCTTTTCGGATTTATTTGGATTTTTGGTTCCTGACGTTTCGAATGCTTTACAGCAATCATGGTTACGGGAGAGACTTCTCTCTTACAGCAATCATGGCCTTTACAAAACCCAAATAAATCCGCGAAAAAATCCGAAAAGATAGTTTTATTCAAAATGTCAAATATTCGCGTAAATCTAAGAAATTATTAAGAGAATTTAATTTAAATAGGTCCATAAATAATTGAAACTCATAGAAATTAAATAATTTCAGGTCCAGGATCAAATAAGCCCACATCAATACCTCAAAGTCAGCTGAAGTACCTTTATTTTGTAGTTCAAGGGAAAGGGCGCACGCGACATAAATATACGTACTGGGAAGCGAAGAACATAGCAAAGGATCCAAGAATAGATTTTCGTAGGTAAGATATATTATAAAATTCAATGGGTTTCAAATGGCTTTTAACAAATAATATGTATATATACACAATATAACTTGTCGGTCGAATCCTTAGTCTGAAGATTTTTCGGCAATTATTATTTGTACTTTAGACCTAGTATCAGGTCTGCAACCACTAATACAATATTCAATCTTACTAATCTGTATAATAAATATTATAAATGTAAAAAATTGTGAGTATGGATGTTTGTTCCTCTTTCACGCCAGAACGGCGGAACGGATCTGGATGAAATTTGGCACAGAGATAGACTATAGTCTGGATTAACACATAGGCTACATTTTAGCCCGGAAAAATATACTGTTCCCCAGGGGTACATTGGTTTTTTTGTTTTTGTTAATTATAAATGTGAAAGTTTAGATGGATGTTTGTTACTCAATCACGCCAGAATGCCTGAAAGGATCTGAATGAAATTTGACACAGAGACAGATTATAGTCTGGAATAGCATATAGGCTACTTTTTATCCCGAAACAATGTACAATTCCCGTGGGATAGATTTGTTTCTGTTTGTCGAAGGGTGAACCGCTAGTACTAGATATATGTACATATAATTGCCATACGTAATTAATAATTATGATTTAGCGTACAACTACGCTACAACATTTTCCATAGACATATAGTTTTTTGGGTACAAAATCAATAGTATCTACACACATATATGGACTCTACAGTAATCAAGTGTAAAACTTAAATTCTGAATGAATACGTCACGTATGACGTAAGTGAATATTACTACAAAGATACAGATTTATATAACAGTGCAACGATGAGTACTATATTACAAAAAAATAACGAAAAAATAAATAATAATAAAAAAAATAGACAAACTAATCTGTAATTAGAATCTAAGTATACAGATAAAATTGAAGTGTTTGTTTGTAATGTAGAAATAACTGCTTTTTACTAAAAGCATATGAAATTATTAAAATATACGGTACTTATAAGGAAAACACATTTTTTTAATTTTTCGTCTATCTGTATGTTTGTTCCGGCTAATCTCCGAAACGGATAAACTGATTTTGACGAGACTTTCACTTTCAGATAGTTGCTGTTATAAGGAGTAACTTAGGCTACTTTTATTTTAAAATTAGGGTTATGCTGAAAAAAAAAATTACCCGAGCGAAGCGATAGATACATAATTTTGTTCTTTTTTTAGAATCTTTTTCTCTGTGGGGATATTTACTTATGTGGTATAGTTAGCATTAAAAGCTGTAGCTAAGCAATAAACCGTATAATAAACAAAGATTTTTTGGTATCCTTTATTTATAAAATTTGTTTATTTCCAGAAAGACCATAATCGTCGCAATAGGTTACCTGGACAGTACAAACTTCCCCATAGCCGCCATGTTTGCGAACGAATACGAAGCGAGGGGCTACAACGTGATATTGGTGGATAATCAGCGGTTTGCCACTGTCCATTATTTTTTGTAAGTATTTTTACGGAACTTTATCATAGGGATCCAGTCGGAACCCAGTTGGTTGCAGCTTAGTAAGTATATGGGACGCGATCCCTGGAGGAGTGGATGGTATTTCAAACGCAGAATTTCATTAAAAATTCTATCATTAGTGCTAATATAAATATTAATTTTAAATTCGGTAATAAATCTGACTCATTATCTCAAGATCATTTTGACACTTGGAAGTGACATTTTGACATTTCCAAGTGTCGAAATGACAGTAAATGTCATAATAATATATGTAAATATAGTAACTTTAAGTCTCCATAACTTTTGAGTCCTTCGATTCATCAAAATATCTATATCCCTATCACCTCCCCTGTCCAAAAATACCACTAAACCCTCCAGGAATCGCGTCCCATATACTAAACCTGTTACTAAACCTATGACTTCCAATGAAGCTTGAAAACACACATCTTTTGTTGGTGGCCGATACAGATTATTGTTATATAAACATATTTTTTCAGAAACAGAAGTCTAATAATTAGGATATGTCCCTAAACAAAAAATGACAATATAAATCAAGTCTAATCAATCTTTAAACGCTTAGGTTTTTCTCCATTACACTAATAGGTAAATCCGTTGTTACATTCATTCTTATTAATTGAACAAATAAACACACTTTCACATTAATTATATTAACGATACCCTAAATTCTAAATCAAATAAACAATATCAACAATGGCGTATGTATGCTACTGAATTCCTCGGATAGCTATGTATAGCGGGAATGCCAGGCACTTTATTCTGAAGATATTGCTATTGACTTGCCAACTAATAACATCTGTCGTACAGCTATTTTCGTATCGTAGCAATTATTTTACATCAAATACATCAATTAACGATACATTTGGCTTAGTTTGTTGTGACTCTACTTGTTATGCTAGCGGTCGCTGGTTCGAGTCTCGCTGGATGCATTCATTTGTGTGATGAACACAAATGTTTGTACTCCAGTCATGGGTGTTTATATTTATATGATTGTATTTAAAGTTATATATGTGTAGTGTATCAACTATCTGGTATCCATAATTCAAGCCTCGTAGCTTACCATGGAACTAGATGGTGCTATGTTAATGTCCAAACATAAAAAAAATATATAATAATGTGTCTGTCAATATCTAGTTTTACAAAATGTATGTTATAATAGTGTTGTCGACAATGCTCTTTGTGGTTGCTGCTATTTAAATTATTAAATGGGTATCAAAATGAATGTAAACAATGATTAGTAATTTAATTTAAAATTTTAGTTACAAGTACAAATTTAAGTACACTCATTTCTAAATAACTTTTTTATTCCATCCTTAGAGGTAAAGTTTATATGAAACCAGCCTTGTGTCATAACCTATTTATATAATAACATACCGACATACAAAAAAATACACCTAAATTAAGTAAATAGGTACTTTTTTGAAGTCAGTAAAAATTTGACTATATTAAAACACCTACACGAGTCCCTCTCACTCTCACTTAATCTCAGTTAAAGTATATATATTACTTATTTCACTACTCCCAGTTCTTTAATGAAATAGAATTACATGAATTGCCTTATTTACTTACCTTAGGTACTTTTATAGTATATCTACTAGCGACTCACCCTCGCTTCGCTCGGGTTCGTCCCTAGGTTGCTTCCCCATAAAAACTTTCATCCTCTTTAAGAGATGATTTCCGGAATATTTACTATCGTCTTACCAAATTTCATCTAAATCAGTTCAGTAGTTTCGGAGCCTGTTCGATACAAACAAACAAAAAAAATGTTTTTCCTCTTTATGATATTAGAATTTTTTTAAGTGCAATAAAGAATATAATAGAATAGATGAATATTTTTTATCTATAGTATATTTTAAATCTTACAATATTTACCTTTTTGGTTGAAGTCAATATGAATTGACGGTAGTAGAACTGAAGAATAATATATAAAATTAAAATATGATATCGTATTTTCTTACAGAGCAACGCGCCTGATGCGTCCGGTCGGCAAACACGTAGCAGAAATATTAGTACAATTAACCCATTCCGGTCTAGACCCCGCAAAAACTGAATTATTAGGTTTCAGTCTAGGCGGTCAAACTATCAGCTATATAGCTAAAAATTACCAACAAATGACTGGAACGAATATATCCAGAATCACAGCTTTAGAACCGGCGGGACCTTGTTTTAGAACTTTGTCGTCGCAAGAGCGACTTGACGCTTCTAATGCGGATTTCGTCCAAGTATTACATACTAATATCGACGGTTTTGGTATGGCAACACGGATGGGACATGTTGATTTTTATATAAACGGCGGGGAATATCAACCTTCTGATATCAACTTTTATCCGTGCTCTACAATTTGCAGCCATTTTAGTATTTTGCCTTTGTGGCTATCCGTTATGAAAAATCCGGATAAATTTATAGGAATCAAATGCAATAATATCCAAGAGGCAAGGGACGCTGCGTGCTATAATAATATTCCATTAGTCACTAATGTAATGGGGGATAGTGTAGATATTAATAATCATGGCATTTTTTATGTATCCACGGATAAAGCGTATCCATATTATTTGGGAAAGAAAGGATTGAAACAGGAGTACGCGTCGTGGAGACGAATCAGTGATATAAATAGTGGTAATGAGACTGAGGTGTACGTTAAGTAAAAAAATAAATAATTTTTTTTTATTCTATGGTTGTTTTTTTTTTATATACTATTCTTATATTATTAATAGGCTTAACAAAAATCGAAAAGGTAATTATATTTTACTTTCACAAATAGTTTAGTATGTACTATACTTTTTATTCGATACTTCATATAGTTTAATATTTCAAACTGCTTTTATTACATGAAGTACCTGGGCGATCGAGCTTAGCTCGATCGCCAAATCGCTTGAATAAATACAAAAGAAAAACAAAAGTAAAACCTGTATCCGACCGAAATTTGAGCCCGGACACCTATGACTGTCAACTATGCCTTGACTATTTGACCATGACGCAGCTCGAGCGTGCGAAATTAGCGACCATATTTTGCATGGAATAATGCAAAAGAAAACCGCATGAAAACTCGAAAACACGCATTTTCCCAGATATAAGACTAATCTAGATCGATTTTTCGCCCCCGAAAACCCTCACATACCAAATTTTAGCGAAATCGTTAGAGCCGTGTGCGAGATCGCCGGTATAAATAAATAAATATACAAGTATTGCTCGTTCAAGTATATTAGATGAACTAACTAATGTATAATATGTTATTAATACTATTAATATGTAATATAGATGCTGTATGTTTTCCTGAATAAACAAATAATGTGTAAAAATTCACTGTCCATATGAATAAATATTATTAGATGCATCATGTTTATTTCAAATTATTTTTGCTGTGGCAGCACCATGCCGATATGAAGCCAAATAACCAGAACTCAAATCAAACTTTTTAAGAATTGCAAGATGTCGCAATGACGTAAAGGCTGACAAGTGCAAAAAACCTTGACGGCCTGTCGAATGTCGATCTTTCCTCAATCTTTCAAAATGGTGCTTCGTTCTCGCGGGTTTCTTTCTAAATTAAATCAAAATCTGTTAAAATGAACTTAAATTGAAACTTGTAAACTGTAGACTTATTTCAGTTGTTCGCAAAATTTAATAGTGTAGTGCTATACTTATTTATTTAAGCGAGAAATAAATTCTGTGTGTAATACTTTAAATCAGTTTTCGTATGTGATGTTTAAGATCTGAATTGTTATTTAAAGCTTCTTACGTAAGTATAACACATTTTTTGTTATTAAACATAGTCGTATCCGAGTGCCGATGCCAAGAATGTCGCTTTCCTCATAGTAATATTTTATCGATATTCGCATGTGACACCCATTTTTTATTTTTCCCGAGTGCGTGTTTAATAAGCGGTAATTATTGATAATTAGTATTGCTGAAGTAAGAAAAAACTAGTTTTAGTCAAGGTTGAAATTTACATGTTATATTTCTTATTTAGTTTTTGTCATTGAAATTTATACAATTATAACAGAATACATAATATAGACGTGAATTGTTTACAATTAAACAATATAATGTAATTTTTGAATTACCTTCATATAAATATAAATTATTTATAATTTTAATGTATAGGTATTTCATGTATTTTATATATTCAATTACCATTTAATATAAATAACAGATGATATTTAAAATAACATTAAGTGAACCTAAATAGAGGTTAAAATTTATTAAACGTGTATTTGTATGTGTTTTTGTTTAGTCAATAATAATTCAAATTAAAGAAGCCCACCTTATGCCAACAGATTACAGCTAATAAATTCTAAATGTAGTCTACATTGTACACTACGATAGCGACAATCAATTATTGCAAATGTTATATTTTAGAAATATTGCAATAATTAAGTGTATTAGAAACAATTTTCCTCTATAGATAAAATATATGCAATCAAAACAATAATATTGATGAAAAATCCAATATGTTACAGTGTGATATAATCATTTTACAAACTATAAAACTGTTTAAACATATGTTACACAAGCTCTAAAGTCAAATAATGGCTGTTGCTTTTCATAATCTATATGTTTTAATAGTAAACTATTAACTTTAATTATATATATAGACTTTTAAGTAATCTAATTCCAATACAAATTATACAATATGTATATATTATTAATCCCTGTACAATGTAAATGCTTGTGGACGTACATGTCTACGGTAGCTGATGTCATAGTGACATCATAGTATCTGAATCAGTAGTGAGAAATCTTACAAGTATACAAACAGTGTTCTTAATATATAATAATTTGTTGTTACTCTTATATAGTAACAGGTAAATAAAGCATATTTTATCACAGTTTTTTAAGATTCATTAATTTTATTTCTTAATCATGTTTTTGCTTTACAATGCTATTTAACTTTGTACACTTTATGTTTTAAAATATTCAATGACTAGAATAATAGAATATATATTTAAAATTATAATATGATTCCCAAGGAGGGTTGATGTCTGGCAGGTGGCCGGTCATAAAACTTTTCCTAGATCCTATCAGCAGTATGGAAGATGAACTGCGCTTACCCCAAGTGATTGGGAAATTCACAGAGAAATTTTGAATGACTAGATTAAGAAGTTTGTTGATATTAGGGGGTAGGATTTTCTTGAAATTTATATGGGACCCTTAATACAATGCGAGTGAACTTAGCATATCATTGTCCAGCAGATCAAAAATAAGTGTTAGTTCTTTTCGCATGCAGCTGAGTTCTACAGTTCCTGATACTTGTCAGAAATAGTTCTGGGGTTTTTATCTTAAAAAATGTCAATTGACAAAATGATCTGCTTACTTCCCATAGCAGATCATTTGGCAGCAAATCAAAAACAAATGTGAGTTCTTGTCACATGCAGCTGAGTTCTACAGTTTCTGATACTTTTTAGGAATAGTTCTGAACTGTCGTCCAAGTGCGAAAAGATCGTGTCAGACTGTTTGAAATGTCGAAAAATACTATTTTCATACTTACCAATTATTATAAAAGGCTAGAACTTTTTTGCTTTACACAGATCTGTACCAAAACTGCAATCTAGAACTCGAGGACTTTAT